TCGTAGAATTTTCTACGCAAACATTTAATTATTTTCATAAATATCTAATAAAAATTCCACAGAAATTCAATTATTTAAAATTTTTTTATAAATTTCCCCGCAATAATTCAGTAATTATTTTCATAAATAATATAAAACTAATTGCATAATTGCAGAATTTCAATTATTTTTAATACAATTTTAATCAAATTCCTCAAAAAATGTATCTAATCATTTTTAACCAATTTTATTAAAATTCGTCAAAAGAATTAAATTATTTAAAAATTTATTGATAAAATTCTTCATTAGAATGGAGTTTTAAGAAATATGAATCTGTTATTCAATAAATTATTTATTTTCGTATCTAAATAATGAATTCTCGTGGAATTTTCTAATAAAAATTAATTTAAAAATGAATAATTTTATTTAAAATTTTAGATAATAATTGAATATAAAAAGCATTATAGCACGAATTTTTAGAAATAATAATTGAATTTCGAAAAATATTCAAATTAAGATCTTTCAAAATTTGTATTTTTCCTACTTTTAACTAACAATTCTGTAGAATTAATTTTTTTTTTTTGAAAATCTTTAATTGATTTTTTTAAAAATTATTTGAAGTTCTTATTTTCCAATATTTAATTGACGAATTTCTGAATAATTTAAATTTCGCAAAATTGAATAGAAAGCAAATAGATTTGAAAATTTTCAAACTTTGTCAAAAAGTATTGAAAATAATTGATTTAAAGATGAATTTCAGTTACAGTAACAATATTCTTATAATTTAATTAATTTATTTATTCATTTACGGGCATTGAGTAAATAATATAAAATATGTAATGATTTTATCACTCGGTCATCTTTAATTATCGTAAAACAGGAAGAAATTGATCACTCCGAGTCTTCGACTCGGAGTTATCGATTTCTTCATGTTTTCCAATAAATAATTTTTTTTAAGTTATTGAATTTCAAAAAAATTTGAATTTGAAAATCTTAATTCCTATGGGAAAATAATAATGATTACATAATTTATTGGAAAAAATCTCAGCTTTTAAATAAAAATTATAAAAAAAATGAAAAAAGAGGTACTTTCTGTAAAAATTGAAAAATAATGTTTTTTTTTTTAAAATGTGGGAATAAATATATTATTTCTCAAAGTTCTATTACCTATTCATATTTTAAAAATAAATTTTACAAATATAAAATTTTTTCTAAAATAAATCCAATTAGAAAAATTTTGAATTTAGAGAAAAAAAATTTTGTTGTTTCTAATTTGTTGATTAAGACAAATCACTTGGAGAAGTTTATAGAAATATTCTAATATGAAGTATTTTATTCTAGTTTTATCATACCTAGTATAATTATTATCAACGAAGTGAGCCGTGAATTTAATTATTGGACCGTGAAGAGAGTAATAAATTTTTGCAAATACTACGAGTTTGGTGTTCAGAAAGTGTGAAGTTGGAAAGGATAAACAATTCAAAATATGAAATAGTATGACGTAGTAAATGCTCGATGATGTAACGTCCTTTATTTTAACAAGACGAGAGTAAACATTGCACGCAAACTTTAATGTCCGTGATATTACTTACTCTCATCTTACGAGTTCTACTTTTAGTTCCACGTGGGGCCGGGCGATTCATTGATACTTTTGATTCAGTAAAGTGAGGTGATCCAATCCGTAATGTTTTCTTGCTTTTTTCTTTCAAACTTTTTTATTACCTACTTAATTAACTATTTATTTTAATTGTTAAATTATATTTTTTTTCTAATTTATCTTCAGATTTTTATTTATTTATCAGTGTAATCATTGTTTCGAATTGATTCAGTATTTTTACTCTCTTCGACATTAATTGAACAAATTTAATTAATTATTTATCTAAAATTTGTATTATTCATTTAAATTCTTTATTTTAATAATGAATTATTTTTATTACATGCCTTTCGGTTTTTAATGTGTAAAATTAATTTATTTTCATTAATTTTAATCATTAATATTAAACAAAAAAAAATTCTATTTTCATAAGTATTTTTATCTGTTTTTGACAATTTTTAAACAATTTAACAATTTTTTTTAGATATTTGCATTATTTTTCGTAAATAAATCTTAATTATTTAAGTCCTAATCTGTTCCTAATCTGTTTGATCTTTCTACGTTTGCAACTTTCTTTCCTTGTTTTAATGCATAATTATCAAATCATAATTATCTATTTTTATTTTTTTTATCTTCATTTTGTAATTCTTTGTACAGATCAATTTTATTATTTATTTAATATTAATTATATTAATAAATTGAAATTATATTAATTTGCTTATTATATTAAATTTTCTGTTATTTTTCTCTTCTTTGTTATTATCTGCATTATTTGAAATTCCTCAAAATTTATTTCATTTCTTCTTTGAAAATATTTTTTTGATTCTACATATTTTTTTAATTTTTGGTATTTTTCCGAATACTTTTTTTTAGATTTGTGACACTAAATGTTACCTTTTTGCTTTTTTTTTGACAATTTGCATTACTTTCAACTCGCTAATAGTTGAAATAAAAAATTATTCCAAAAAAATTTTAATAAATTTTTTTGAAGCGATTAAATTATTTTCAAAAATATTCCGAAATTCAATTATTTTCAATATTTACCATCCCAATAAAATTTCTTCAAAGAATTAAATTCTTTACCTAAACAAAATTTAGATCAAATTCATCAGAAACATTCAATTATTTTTAATAGTATTTTAAATACAATCACTAAATAATTCAATTTTTTCCAAAATATTAATAAAATTCTTTGAAAGAATTCAATTTTATTTACAATTTCCATACAATTTATAAAATTCAAATATTTTTAAATTTTAGGAAAATTTTCCAAAATTCAATTATTCAATTATTTTCGTAACTAATTTTACTAGAATTAAATTAATTTCACAAATACATTTAAACAAATACATTTAAACAAATTATTTAAACAAATTTTAATAAAATTCTTCTTTAGAATTAAATTATTTTTAAAAATTTCAATAAAATTCAGTCCAAGAATTCAATTATTTTCATAAATAATAAAAATTATCGCAGGAATTCAATTATTTTTAATACAATTTTAAAAGGATTCCTTTAAATAATTCAATTATATTTACAATTTTCATCCAATTTTTATAAAATTCTTTCTCAGAATTATGAATTTTTAGAAAAAATTAAATTTTACTTAAAAGGTTTTTAAATTGAAATATTTGAAAATTTTAATTGTTCTAAAACTGTAATAAGTAATATTTAACTTTTTATTTTGGACATTTATTAATTTATTATTTTTTCAAAAAATGATTAGTTTTGTAGAATTTCATTTTAAAATGTCAACAAAGAAATGATTGAATTTAGAAAGGATTGCAGTTGTGATTTTTAGAAATAGTTAAATTTCATTAAAAATATTTTAATTCCTGTGAAAAAATAAAAAAGTATTTAAATAGTTATTTGATAAAAATTATTATTCAAGTTTTCAATAATGTAATTTAATTTGGAAATTATGAAAAAATTAGACTTTTGAAAAATAGGTAAAATAATTGAAAAATTATTCTCTTATTATTATTTTTTTATTAAAGATTATTCTCTAATTATTTGGAAATGTTGACAAATTTAATTGAAATAAATTTTATGATTTAAAGAATATTATTTATTTTTACAGGGATTCAATTATAAATATAATAAAATTTATCAAAGAAATTCAATTATTTTAAAAACCTTTGCTACAATTTATTTATTAGAATTTAAGTAGATATTATAATTTCAATACAATTTTAATTAAATTTCTTCAAAGAATCTAATTATTTTCAAAAATTTTAATGAAATTCTTTGTGACAATTCAATTTTTTTCAAAATAATTTAAATAAAATTCTTTGTAGAAATTTGATTAATTTCAAAAGTTCGTCAAAATTAAATTATTTTCAATGTTTTCTATTTCAATAAAATTTCACAAAAGAATTCAATTGTTTAAAAAGAAATTTTAATAGAATTCGTCTCAAGAATTCAATTATTTTCAAAAGTAATAAAATTCTTTGCAGAAATTCAATTATGTTCAAAAATTTACAAAAATTCTCTTTAAAATTTCAATTATCTTTATAAATAATAAAATTTTTCTCCAAAATTCAATTACTTTCAAAAACTTTAAACAATTCTCGTCAAAATTTGAATTATTTCCAAAAATTTTCCACAATTTAATGATTTTTAAAATCTTTTATTTTAATAAACTCTTCCAAAAGAATTCATTTATTTAAAAAAATGTAATAATATTCTACGCTAAACGTTTCATTATTTTTATAAATAATAAAAATTTCACAGAAATTCAATTATTTTCATAAATAATAAAACTCATTGCAGAATTTCAATTATTTTTAATACAATTTTCATCAAATTTCTCGAAAAATGGAATTATTCTTAAAAATTTTATTGAAATTTATCAAGAGAATTCAATTATTTAAGATAAAATTCTTTATGAAAATTCAATTTTGAGAAACATTCAATTTTTTAATTTAATTAATTTTTACTTAATAAAATATTAATTTTTGTATTTAAATAATTTAATTCTCGTAGAATTTTCTACTAAATATTGATTTAAATATGAATTTCAGTTAAAATTTTCGATTATAATTAAATATTGTAATGATGAAAATAATTTTTGAAGAAGTTACAGTAAGAAAGTAGCAAGTTTTAATTATTATAAAACATGAAGATAAACTCTTCATGTTTTAAAATTTAATATTCTTATATGTTATTGAATTTAAAATTGTTGAAAATCCTAATTTCTATGAAAAATAATAATAATTAAATATTTATTTAAAAATGAAGTTATTTAATTTGGTAAAATATAAATGTAGTTTTAAAAATCTGGAAAACCTGGAAAAGTCAGGGAATTTGAAAAGAGCAAAAATGTGGCAAAGCCTGGAATTGTGTTTTTTCCCTTTGGAATTATCGATTTAATTCCAATTAATTAAATTCAATTAATTAAATTAATTTTCAATGAATTTTTTTGCAGAATTTCCACAATGGGAGTTGAGAAGAAATCCACTTGTTTCAATAAAAGTTTTCAATAGAATTAAAGGCGAAAACTAAAAGTTTTTTTGTTTGAAAACGTCTCCATTGTATAATTATTAAAATGAAGACAATTTTCGTTTTTCTGATGATGATTGTTTGCGTTCTGAGTGCACCTTGGCTCGATTTACTCTTTGGAGAGCCATATTACAGAAGTGAAGGAAGACAACGACAGGGCAAAAGTGGTGGCGAACGTTGGAAAGAAATTTGCCGAACAATAAATCCAGACAGTTTTGCATATCCAGGTCGAGTTCCCTATCCTTCAGCACCAGTTTGTCCCTGGTAGGGAAAAATACAATTAAGCAAAATATTTTATAAGCGAAAAATTCCAAAAATCTGTAAAATAACGAAATAATAATTAAGTTTTTTTAAATTACTGTTTACTTTTAATCATTATTTTATACGAAAATTTGTATTTTTTTTCTTAGTATTGTAAAAGAGTTTTTTTTAAAAATATTTTTGTATATGTACTTGTATATTATTTTTCCATAAAAATTTTTTTCTGAAAATTCCAATTTTACTAACACAGTAACATTAGACCTAAAAGTATGAAAAGCAATTTTCTTTTTTGAAAAATAATTATTTATTGTAACAATTTTGTACAGAATGTAGTTATTTACTCTTGAGTATATTATTATCAGTCGTCGTGTGACAGTTCCTTGAATGTAAAATGAATTTACATATATGTAATTATGTATACTCTCGTGCAATGATTCTACAGTCTACCAATGATTATTTACACGCCAAGCCAAAAAAAAAGGAAAAAAAACAAGTAAATCAAGGATGCTTTGACACAATTAGGATAATTAAATTTCATCACTGGAATATCTATAAAACAATCTGGTAAAAGTACATTTTTCATTTGTAAGCAACTCGAATAATTCAAAAAAATCAAGCCAACAATTGTAAATATCGATAAGATCATTTTTTACTCAATTATACTCTTTTTCTCTTATTAAAAATTTACAAGAATCTATTTATTTTTCCTAATCTAATCGAATCCGAGAATCTATTTAAATATTTGTTAAATAAACTATTAAACAAAATTAATAGAATTTATTGCAAAATCTACTGGAAAGAATAATAATTATTATTATTAAAAATCTAAAAATTCATTCGTAATTAAATACGAAAAAAGACTGGATGCTTTGTTTTTAAATATACTCATGTTAAAAAATTTACTACTTCATTATAAACCTAATTTATAATGATAAATAGAAATAATTAATTTATGATAGACAGTAAATTATTGCTTGACAAAATTCTCCCCGAAAATTTGAAGATTTGTTCAGTTACGTCAATATAATCTTAGGTATATTATTATTATTATTTACAATTGATAAATAATCACAGCATTTATGTTCAGCACTTAAAAGCCATTATACATACCTCTGGGAAGACTTTTTGAGTGCTTGAATTTTACAGTCGATGAATGGAAAATAAATAATAATGAATACATACGTAGCCACTGTGTAAGTACTCTCCGACTAATTGTCGAGAATGAAAATTGAATTAAAAATCATTTCCAAACTTGAATGAGACCATCAGTACTGCCAGTGAGGATACATGTATTTGACATGGCAACTGCAGAAATTGTATCGTGATGACCTGACGGCGGTGTCTCCGGGCCCTGGCCTCCTTCTTCCGTGTTTCTTCCTCTCATTCCGCTTCCGCCCGACGATGGTAGAGGAACACCTCCAGCCAGCACTTCTTGTACTACGTTTGTTCCGTCGATTAATCTCTGTCTGTTGGATTCAAATTCAATTGAAAATTTGAACGACTAGAAATCGCCAAGATACTTTTAGTTACAAATTAAATTAAAAAGTTAAATTCTAAATTTTTTAAAATTAAATTACTTTCCAAATTTTCAATTACAGGGATCTCAGTGATTTTTTCATGTAATACTAGGTAAAATAGGGGATTTTATTTTTCAAAAGATTTTTAAATTAATAAAAATTATTGTATTTTAGAGCATAAAATTTATTTTCAAGATTTTCTTATATTTTTTCTTCTAACATCAGCTTTTTTAAGTAAAATAATTTTTTTAGTTAAATTTTTTCTGTTAATTATTGATATTCTTTTTATTTTTTCCGTAGTCCGTAACTTTCTTTAAATTTTTAATCAAAATTTGTATTGCAACGCTACTTTTGTTAATTACATGCATGAATTTTGTTAAATATGAAGTAAATTTCAGAAACAAATTAGTAAAATTAACTCGGGACTTGGAAAAATTTCCTTTAAAAATAATGAAATTTAGTATTAAAAAATTTTATTTACAGAGTAACTTTTACTATTTTCAAAGACAATTTTTCTTATGAAAATTAGAAAAATTTATATCAAAAATAGTCAAATTTACTCTAAAAATAAGAATATTTAATAGCTAATACTAATTTTCGAGGAAAATTTGAATAATTTAATTTATAAAAAAAATTAGCATTGAAAATAGTAAATTTTGCAATTAAAAATAGTTATTTCCAGAGTAAATTCTATATCTGAAGTAAATTTTATTATGAATTAGTAAAATAATAAATAAGTAAAATATACTTTGAATTTAGTAAAATTTTAAATTTATTCTGAAATTAATATTTGACAAAAATTTCAAACAATTTGGATTTTTCCTAGAAGTAAAATTTATTTTATTTTAGTTACCTTTTATGAAAAGATTTCTAAGTTTAAAGACTGTAAGGAATAATATAAAAAGATTTTTAAGTTTCAAAATAATAAAATTTTTCCAAAGTTTGCAAAAACTAAAAACTTTTTCTTTAAGCATAATTAAAAATTTTTCTAATTTACTAAAAATTACAATTTTTACAAGTTATTCTTAAAAATAAGAGGAAAAGGGGAGAAAATTTATAATTTTAGGGGATTTTATTAATTTAAAGGCCTAAAAAAGGGAAAAAGAGGAAAAAAAAGGGGACCAACTGTTATCCCTACAATTAGAATTTTTCAAAAATACGATTAACCTTCAAAATAATTTTCAAAATTTTTAAAAATAAAATTTATTTCAATAAAATTTGATAAAAATTTCCAATTGTTTAAATTTTTTAAAATTATTTTTGGAAATTCAATTATCTTCCAAATTTTTTAATAAAATTTTTTTGAAAAACAAATTTTTTTGGAATTTCTAAATTAAAATTTTCAAAACTTCAATAACTTTTATTAAGCAAATATTTAAAAACTTATTCTAATTTATTTTTTCCACAGGAATTAAAATTTCAATACTTTCAATGTAGAATTTTTTGAAATTTAATTATTTCTGAAATTTACTACTGCAATTCTTCAAAAATTCAATTATTTCTTAACAATTTTTGAATAAAATTATTCGAAATTTAAATCATTTTTATGGAAATATAATATATATTAATAATTTTTAAATATTTTTATACCTTTACAGCCATTAAAATTTTCAGAGGATTCAATTTAAAACTATTTTAAACCTAAAATTCCTGTTATAAACTCTTTAAATATTCAATTATTTTCTAAAACTTTAACTGGATTTTTTTTAAACCAATTCCTATCAGAATTCAACTACAAGAATTGAATTATTTAGACATAATAATTTTTTTGTAATTTAATTATTTTCTAAACTTTTAGTTGAAATACTTCAAAAATACAATAATATTTAAAAATAATTTTTTAAACAGAGAAAATATAATTCTTTGAAATAATTTCCTATTTTTTGAATTTTTTCAAATTATTTTCGGGAATTTAACTATTTTCAAAAAAATAGTAATTACGATTTTTTAAAAACTTTATTTCTTCCGAATTTATAAATAGAATTTTTTAAATTTGATTAAAATTTATTTAATAAATATTTGAATACTTATTGTTATTTATTTGTCCATCAGGAATTAAAATTTCAAAATATATTCAATGTAAAACCTTTTGAAATTTAATTATTTCTAAAAATTTGAACTGCAAGTTTTTCAAAATTAAATTATTTTTCAGATTTTTTGAATAATTGGTACTATAGAAAACTTTTAACTTATAAAGAAGTCAACAAATTAATAATTTTTTATATTTAAATATTATTATACTTTTAAAGCAATTAAAATTTTAAAGATTACAATTTAAAAACTTTTGGAATTTAATTTTTTCTAACTAAAAAATCTTACTTTAACACTTCTAATTATTTTCTAAAGTTTTAACTAAAATTCTTTTTGAAATCAATTCTTATCAGAATTCAACTATGAGAATTCAATTATTTAAATACAAAAATAAATAATTCATAAAATAATAAATTATTTTTAAAAATTGTAACTGTACCTCCTTATTGTGTTTCTGAAATTTGGGATAAATTGCTTTACTTCACTTATTTTATTATTTACAAATTAATTGACAGACTTTTGGCATAACAATTCAATTATTTTTATATAATATACTCGAACGCCGGTTTAGCGGACTGTCATAACATTTTTATATTAACTTTTGAGAATAAAAATTTCTATTTTATGAATATAAAGAAAAAATAATTTCTTAAATGATTTAAAACATTAAAATATAACAAGACCACTTTCTTCATACTGTACAGAGGTAAAATCAGACCTCCGGTGGAGTCCTTTCGTACCTCACAATCCAAAAAGTCCGCTATATCGACGTTCGAGTGTATTTGATAAATTAAAAAATTAAATTAGATTTTGTTGTGTAAATTAAAATTTGTATCACTTAAAACTAAAATTAATTAAAATTTAAAGAAACTGAAATTCAAATAATTTACTATTTGAATTGATTAATTTTTAAGAAGATACAATTTTAATAATTTTAAATTTACGGTTGATTGAATTTGTGTTTATAAATTTTTAATTAACAAAATAGGTAAATTAAGTGACAAACTGTGAGATCTGTAGTTCTATACAAACTTCTATGGAGAAATTACAAAGAAATAAAATAAGAATAAATAAATATTGCAATAAAAAATGAAAATTACACTCAACAAGAAAAATTATCCTAAAGTAAAAATTGGAAGACTTGAAAATCAATGGAATTGAAGAAAGTAAAGTGAATACTTACTCGTAAGCTAATGAATTTGGAGGTATAACATCATTCGCGGCTGGCAAAGCAACGTACGATTCATTGGGATTATTAAGATTCCAGTATCTCAATCTCATGTCTGTGCCGCTGGCTAATAAAAATCCTGATCGATCTATAGATCCCGAGTGCATAGCACAAACATTGTGACCTCCTTGTAGATGACTCAAAGGTGGCGCACTCGAAGCCCAAAGAACCATTTGTCGAAAGCCAGTCTCCAGATTCCACATTGATATTTCATTGTTTCCTTGAACCGCCGAAATAATCCACGAGTGCTCTGTTGGATGAGTTATAACTTTTCGAACTCTGGCGCCTAGAAATAACATTCATTTATTTTATTAAGAAAAATAAAGTAAATCTTAAAACTTAAAGAAAAAGAAACAAAGACCAAAATTCCTCTGAGAAACAAGATAAATAATTAAATAGTTTAACTAGATAATAATAATAAAGTATGAACATAAAAATATAACTATAAAAATTAATGGTAATACAGATAATTTTATTACTATTGTACTTTTACTTCATAGTCAATAAAATTGTGATAAATTTAAAATACTGAAAGTCTGAAACTAAATTTTAATTAAAAGACAAATAATAATTCTATAAAGAGAAAAATTAATTATTAGAATATTTTTATTCTGACGAAAGTAGAAGTATTTAGAAAATCTATAAAATAAGTTACCTGTGGGATGCTTTATAATACTGATTGGAAGTTGAAACCTCAAATCCCAGCAAATGTGAACTCCTGAACTTGTACCAAGTGTTAGCCATTGTTGATAATTGTTCACACAAAAGGAGGTTATCACGCCGTGCTTTAAATCGTTTTCCAATTTCCAAACAGTTCCCGGACATCGTAAATCCCATCCGACAAGGAAACCATAGAGAGACGCGTAAACGAGAACCGACTGCGATCCAGAATCCAAATATTGAATGTCAACAGCGCAACCTTCCTCCTACAAAAATTATAGAAATTCTTTTTAATTCATCTTAAAAGTTTTCTTGTATTTTTTAATTTATTTTTTTACTCTCTTCTTATATTCTTTTTCACTCATTTTTCTCTTCTATTAGTTTTTACTTAGTTTTTTTAGATATTTTTCTTTTATGCATACATTTTTAATTTTAACCTTTGTTTATATTATTATGTAATATACAAGTATAAATTTAAACCATATTTTTAATTACACTAATTTTATTTATTCAGAGTTGACACAAAAATTTAATTTTTCTTTCCCTGATTTACAGATAGAATTTTGACTTTTTCTCTTACAGTAAAAAAATATTCTAATTCACTCTAAAAATGATTAGATACTCGAAAAAATGTTCTAATACATTTATTTGCGAATTTCTTTAAATGTAAAATTATATGAAAACATCAACAGTTTTATTTATAATGAATATTATTATTTGTCCATAGGAATTAAGATTTTCAAAAATTTCAAATTCAAACCATTTGAAATTCAATAACTAATAAAAATATTGTTACTGTAAATTCTTCAAAATTATTTTCATCATTGCAATTCAATTATTATTTTCTACAATTTTTAACTAAAATTTTTCTTTAAATCAAATATTTTAAATAATTTTTGAAAAAGTTCTTTGAGAATTTTTAAATCCATTTGTTTACAATTTAATTTTACGAAATTTCGATTATTTGGAAATTCTTTGATTAAATATATTATATTAGAAAATACCTAAAAACTTCAAATAATTTTTCAAAAATCCAATTAAACTTTCTCAAAATTTCAAAGATATTAATTTGAAATCTTTTCAAAATTCAATTATTTATAAAAATTACTATTATTTGTAATTTTTCAAAAATACAATTCTTTTTTGGAATTTTTAACTAAAATTCATCTCTAAATCAATTATGGTTAATAATTAAATATTATTTTAAAAGGATTTGAATTAAAATTTTCCAAAAAACTAAGTTTTTTAAAATTACTAATTAAATTCATTCAAAATTCAAATTTTCTGACATTTCAAAGTGAAACATTTTAAAATTCAAGTATTTCAGAAATTTTTCATTAATAGAGTTGCCACAAAACTTTAATTTTGTTTTTCCCTGACTATTTCCTGATTTCAAGACAAAATTTTGACTTTTTCCCTGATCTCTAAAGAATACCTATTCTGATTCATTCTAAAAATTATTAGATATTCAAATAAATGTTCTATTACATTTATTTACAAATTTCTTCAAAAATAAAATTATTCGAAAACAAAATTATTTTCAGCATTTCAATTCAATTGTTATTTTTAAAAATTTTTAACTAAAATTCTTCTATCAATTATTTTTAAACATTTTTGAAAAAGTTCTTTCAGAATTTTCAAATCCATTTCTTTACAATTCAATTTTATGAAATTTCGATTATTCGGAAATTCTTTAATTAAATATATATTAGAAAATAAAAATTTCAAAAAAATGCATAAAAAATTAATTCACAGAATTGTTAGTTAAAATGTGAGAAATTCAAATTTACAAAGATTTTCATTTTAAACTTTTTTAAAATTTAATTATTTTTAAAAATTCATGCTATGTATATTAAATGCCTTTGATATTCAATTATTATCTAAAATTTGAACTGAATTCATTTTTTAATCAATTTTTATTAGGAAATTCGACTAGAATTCAATTATTTAAATAGAAAAATAAATAATTTATTGAATTACAATGTTTCTCAATAATTGAATTCTCATAAAGAATTTTATCAACAAATTTTTAAATAATTAAATTCTTTCAACAAATTTTAATAAAATTTTTAAGAATAAAAATCTATATATAATTCTTTGGAATTTCTAATTAAATTCATTCAAAATTGAATTATAACCTTTTGAAGTTCATCTATTTATGACAACTTTAAACAAAACTCTTTTAAAATTCAATTAATTTTGAAATATTTAAGTAAAATTATTCAGTATATAACTTATAAGTTAAATTGTATGACAGTTCTTCAGAACTTTCTTATGAATTCTAAAAATATAATTTTTTCCAGTACTTTTAATAAAAATCCCTTACTTTTCCCTGACCTGTGGCAACCCTGATTAAATAATTTATAAGTAATAATTTTTTTTATTAATCGGTTCACCTGAAGGTCCAGTTGACGACTGTGAGTGACGGACATTTTATTTGAATTTGATTCAATTCGAAGAACAAAAACAGTCCCCGATTGAGTAGCTGAACTCGCTAAAGATTGTCCTTGTTCGCAAACTGTCAATCCAACTAAAGGACCGCCTCGATGAATGTAAGTTTGTCTGAAATAAAATGAAATATTAAAAAAGAATTCACTTTTACTTTTGAAAATACTAATATACGTTTGTAATAAGAAAATATTGTCGTACCTTGATCGGTTGACTATATTTCTGCCTTCCATTTTGCTTGCATCCCAAATTCGTACGCATCCATCAGCCGCACTGCTTCCAAACAAACTTGTGTCTGGAATTGACACCAGTCGATTAATCGCCGCTCTATGTTCGTGAAGATGTGCCACAAGAGCTCCACGTGGTCTCCATCCATTAGGAAGTAATCTCGAACCTTTTAATGTATTTTTTTTAATAAGTCAACGGTTTATGTGAATTTTAACTTTGAATTAAATTAAATTCGATTAAAATTAAAATAAAAAATTTTAAGTAAATTAAATGCTAATTAATTAAATAGGTGAAACGTAATAAAACGTAATTTTTCTTTTCTGAAATTAAAAAGATTGTCTAAAGTAAATATTTATTAAATTTTAAAAACGTTCTTTCTTTACCATTTTGCCAGGCGATATTATCTGCCCAATGCTGTGCCCTCATAGCCGCAGCATGTTGCTCCTGCTTTCTGTACGTCAGTTGTCTTAATTCCAATCTACACGGAGCGCACCTGTCTGCGAAACCATAAAGCGTTGCAACTATTGCATTGATTAAAAATATTCAGTCATGCATCAAAGGCAAACAAATGATTAGCAATTAACACTCATCACTTACAAAACTTTCATTATTGAATTAAATAAAATTAATTCGTAAGTGATAATTGCATAGGCAGAAGAGTGATAAAAAATGTAATGACAAACAAAACTCACATTGAATGTATGATCGTTCATGCAGTGAATGATCATTTATACTGTTTATATCCGCTAAACTGTGCTGCGGCGATAAATGAATATCACCTCCATGAATACTTTGACTCGGACTTCCCGTACTTCCAGTCATTTCCGGAATTTTTACAATTGTGTGCTGAAATTGAGAAAAAATTTATTTATAAACGAAATACCTCCAAAATCGCCAATTTTTTACGTCCGCAAGAAAAAGACCCATTTTGACAATTTTATTTTAGGAGATAATCGCAATTTTCTAAAAGTGGTTCAGATTATTGATTTTTTTTTTTGTTAAATTAAATTATAAATTAACTCATTAATGGATTAATAATAGGATGTATTATTTTTTACTGTTGACTAAATTGTGAAATATTATTTAATATTATTACAGGCTTCGCACTCGATAATTAATTTTAAAAAAGTATCAAAAAGTAGCTATCGAAAAATTAAATTTGACGCCTAAAAAAATTCATCTTTGTTAGTCGATTCGCCAAAATTTGATTCTGTATTTTCCCAATTTCCATAAAAATATTCACTTTTTTTCTTATCTAATTTAAATTCTAAATTTTTCTAAAATTCAATTATTTTCCAAATTTTTAGTTAGAATTCTTCAAAAATACAATAAAAACGATTTTCAAAAGTAATTAAAGATAAAATTCTTTATTATTTAAAATTTATTTCAATAAAATCTCACAAAATTTCTAATTAATGGAAAATTTAATTTAGTAATCGTTTTAAATTATTTATGGGAATTTAACTATTTTCCTAAAACTTTAGTCACAATTTTTGCAAAAGACTAATTTTTTTCATAATTTCTAAATTAAACTGTTCAAAAGTTGACCAATTTTTGTTAAATGAATATTTTAACTGATAATTAAACAATTTTTAAAAATGAATAATTAAATATTCAATTTCACAATTAAAAAATTCAGACTTTAATTTAAAAATCTTTTAAAATTCAATTATTTCTAAAAGTATACGCAATAATGCTTTTAATATTCAGTTATTATCTAAAATTTTAAATTGAAATTTATTATTAAATCAATTTTTATTAGAAAATTCAACAAAAATTCAATTATTTAAATACAAAAATAAATAATTAAATGAATATTTATTCAAATTCAATTCTTATACAAAATTTTATCAATTATTTATAACTAAATTCTTTCAAAGAATTTTAATGAATTTTTTAAAGAATAATTGCATTTTTCGAAGAATTGATTTAAAATTGTATTGAAAATAATTGAATATGAGTTTTATTCTTTATAAAAATAATTGAATTTCTGCAAAGAATTTTGTTATTTTTAAAAATAATTGAAACTTTACGAAGAATTTTATTAAAATTTTTGAAGATAATTAAATACTTTTAACGAATTTAATTTAAATTCTATAGAAAAATAATTGAATTCTTTCCAAGAATTTTATTACAATTTTTAAAAATAATTTAATCATGTCGACAAATTTTATAACATTTGTATTGAAAAAATTTTAATTCCTGTAAAAAATTTTGTTATTTATTTATTTATTTTTATTTATAGAAATTATTGAATCTGTGCAAAAAATTTTATTAAAATTTTTTAAAATAATTGAGTTTCTACAAAGAATTTTACTATATTTATAAAGATAATTGAATTCTTGCCAAGAATTTTATAAAAATCACCGAAAATAATTGAATTTCTGCGAAAAATTATATTATAATGTTGCAAATAAGTAGATTCTTTTAAGGAATTTAATTTTAATTGTAATGAAAATAATTTAATTCTTATAAAGAAATTAATCGCCATTTAAAAAAAAATTCAATTGTTTCGAAGAATTTTAAGAAATTTTTTAAAAATAATTGCATTATTCGAGAGATTCAGTAAAAACTAATGAAAATAATTGAAATCCTGCGATCAGTTTTTTTATTTATAAAAATAATTGAATTTTGGCAAAAAATTTTATTAAATAATTGAATTCTCATAAGAAAATTGTATTATTTGTAAAAATAATTGAATTCTTGTCAAGAATTTTATAAAATTGTATTTTAAATAATTGAATTCCTGTTAAAATTGTGTTATTTATGTAAGTAATGGAATGTTTGCAAAGAGTTTTATCAATTTTTTTTAGAATAATGGAATTTTTTGGAAAATTTTATTAAAATAGTAGATATTTGAAAATAATTGAATTTGGAAAAATGTTTTGAAAACAATTGAACAGTTTAAACGAATTTTATTAATATTTTTTTAGAATAATTTTCTTATTTTAGCTATTAGCAAATTTAAAGTAGTGCAAATTCTCAGAAGAAAAAAAAAGTAGTTTTTAGTGTCACAAATCTAAACAAAAATAATTCAAATACTGTTAATAATTAATATTATTTAAGTTTTTATTTCATATGAAACAAATATTTCTAGTTGAAGTAAAAAAATTAAAAAACAAAAAAGTTTGAAAAGTTGTGCAAAAAATTGTAAATATTTTGATACTATAAAATTACCTGAACACTGTCTTGAGTTGAAAACATTGTTCTCCATTCTTGATTCATTGAGGCATAGGATGCGGAATTGTCGGTTGTTTTGCGGTCGACTTTTTTAAAGGACGACAGTCCTAAATCACCTTTTGTATCCGGATAGAGAACAACGATATGATGACTTAATTTCCCTTTCATCATACTAAGTTCGATTTTTCCGTCAGCAGATCTCGAAACTCCTTGCTTCGCCTCCATTGAATTACGGTACTTGTTTATTTTTATCAAATGAGGTTTCATGACAATGAGTTGATCCTCAACTGTTTCCGTCATCAATTCTGAACTCAAACGCCTGAAGAGCTAAAATATGAGAAAGAAATATAGATAAAATAATATTATCTTGAAACTAAAAACAAATATTTAAAAATAATAATTATTTTTTAATATTTTATTTAAATAAACTAGAATATTTTAAATAACAAATTTTACCAAAAAGAAAAGTAATATTAAAGGAATAGAAAAAATAATTACTGTAATTGACAGTAAAGTAAAATTATGAAAACTCACATTTCGCAAAGAATTACTCATGTCATTGTAAGGAGGAACAACTCCAGTGTTTGCTTTTGCTCTTGCTATTTGCCTCTGTTCAAAAGTCCGAAACAATTCTTCTACGTCATTATACTTTATCACAGTGTCGTAAACAACTCGCGGAATGGGACCCACCAGAGCTTCGAGAAGTAAAATTTCTTTTTCGATCTGAATGATCGGATGTTTTAAATATGGCATGATTATTGTTTGCACTTTACACTGAACATCGACGATATTTAACGTTCTCGCTGCAGCGGAAATGAATCCAACAGTCGCATGTCTTATCCAAAGATTCGGGTGTACCTGAAAAAACATCGAAATTAAAACCGCTGAAGAGAATAAATTACTTCAACAGTTTAATAATAAAAATGTAATAAATTTTCTTATCTACGAATTTTTGATTTAGAAAAATCAAATTCATTACTTGAGAAATGAATTACCAAATTTATTTTTAAAAATAAAAACTATAAATATAAAATAACTGTTAAACTATTTAATTTTAATAGTATTAGCATAAATAATATTAAAATAAAATTATAATTTTAGAAAATTTGTTAATATTCAATAGGAGTATTTACCAAATAAATGACGGTTTCTGACAAAAGCGAATAGAGCGCTGATTTGTGAAGAAGACCGAGTTCGGTGAGAGTGGCCATTGCATTGATAGCCTTTCTCGTAACAAATTCCTCGGGATCGGTTAATCCTTGCTGAAGAAGTGGCATTAAAATTGGACTACTGTGCCAGCCGACATAAGCAGCAACACCCACAATGCATTCAAAGAATGATCCCCGCAATTGTTTATCATCCTTGTCATTGAGGAAAGTTATAACGTGACTGAGTAAAACATCATTCGCTTTCTGTTTACCAAAAAAAACGCACAGCTTGTTGATTCCATTTTCCATCAGCGTTTGCTTCACTAAATTTTGCGTGTCAGTCAGCAACATTGACACCGATTGCTGAACCTAAACAGAAACAATTAGTTCTCAGTTTTAAGCTTTTACTTTTTTACTCTTCTTTTCAAAAAATTTGCAAACTAATTTTTTTACACACAAAAAATTAAATACAGCTTTATTATCAAAAAACAAATTTAATGTAACTGAAAATTATTCATTTACCTATTTATATAACGCAGGCGTGCGTAAAATTTTTTGTTACAATAAAAGATTTTCTTTTTGAAATTTAATAAAAATTCTTCATTTTTTAAAAAAAATATAATTTTCCAACAGTTTTTCTTAACAACTTAAATGTAAGATCTTTTTGATTAAATAATTAATCTTTCGAGTACTATTTGAACAATCATGGTAAGAAGTTTAATTCTAAATTTTTAAAATTTAATTATTTTCCAAATTTTCAATTAGAAGTCTTCAAAAATACGATTATATTTCAAAATAATTTTTAAAATTAAACAAATAAAATTAATTAAAATATAAAATTTATTTCAATGGCCAAAATTTTTAAGTGTTTCAATTTTTTAAAATTATTTTCAGAAATACAATTATTTTTTAAAAATTGTAATTATATTTTTTCAAGAAACAAATTTTTTCGGAATTTTTAAATTAAATTATTCAAAACTTCAATAATATTTGTTAAACAAAAATTTAAAACTTTATATGTATAAAATTTAAATACTTTCAATGTTAAACAATTTGACAAATTTTTTATAAAAATTTGAACTGCAATTCTTCCAAAATTAAATTATTTATTTCTTTACAATTTTTGAATAAAATTATTCAAAACTTTAATAATTTTATAAAAAAAATAATATATTCATATAGTTTTACAATATTTTTATACTTTTACAGCGATTAAAATTGTCAAAAGTTTCAATTTAAAAATATTTTAAAATTTAATTATTTCATAAAATTCCTGTTATAACGCTTCAAATATTTAATTATTTTTTAAAAGTTTAACTCAAATTTTTTTATAAACAATTCCTTTCAGAATTCAACTACAAGAATTAAAGAGAATAATTTTTGAATTATTTATTTATTTTCTAAACTTTCAGTTGCAAAACTTACAACAAAACAATAATATTTAGGTAAAAATAATTTTTTAAAGTAAGAAAATAAAATTCTTTAAAATATGAAATTTATTTAAATGAAATTTAAAAAAATTTCCTATTTTTTCAATTTTTTAAAATTATTTTCGATAATTCAACTATTTTTAAAAAATTTAAATTATGATTTTTCTAAAACCTAATTTTTTCAGAATTTCTAAGTACATATAATTAAATTCAAATTTTATTAATTTTTGTTTAATAAATATTTGAATACTTATTGTTATTTATTTGTCAAACAGGAATAAAAAGTTCAAAATACTTTCAATGTAAAACCTTTTGAAATTTAATTATTTATAAAAATTTTAACTGATATTCTTCCAAAATTCAATTATTTGTTAGAATTTTTGAATAATATTATTAAAAACTTTCAATTTTTAAGGAAGCTAACAAATTAATAATTCTTTATATTTATTATATTTCAGTTCAAATTTTAGAAAATATTTCAAGAATGGGAGGAATCGCAGTTCTAATTTTTAGAAATATGTAATTAAATTTCTAAAGGGTTTTACATAAAGTATTTTGAAATTTTAATTCCTAGTGGACAAATAAATAACAATAAATATTTAAATATTTATTAAACAAAATTTAATATTTGAAAATTTTTATTTTTTTATTTTCCAAAATTATTTTTAAATGTCATTTTATTTTTTGAAGAATTGAAACTAAAACTTTGGAAAATAATGATTCAAATAATTCAATTATAGTTGAATTCTAATAAGAATTGATTTAAAAAAAAAATTTTACTGAAAATTTTGAACAATAATTGAATATTAGAAGCGTCATAACAGGAATTTAAAGAAATAATTAAATTTTAAAAGGTTTTTGAATTGAAAGCTTTTTACATTTTAATCGTTATAAAAGTATAATAATATTTAAATGATTTAAATATGTATTTAAAAAAAATTAATAATATTTTAGTTTCCTTTAAAAATTATTAAAGTTTTGAATAATTCGAAAATTCTAAAAAATAATTAACTTTTGGAAAAATTGCAGCTGTTTTTTCTAGAAATAATTAAATTTCAAAACGTTGTTTAATGAAATTATTTGATATTTCAGTTAAAATAATAAATATCAATAAGTTTTTAAATATTTGTTTAACAAAAATTATTGACGTTTTGAATAATTTAATGTAGAAATTCTAAAAAAGTTAGATTTTTTAAAAATTGTAATTTAATTTTCTTTTGAAGATATTTGAATTCCCGAAAATAATTTTAAAATAATTTAAAACAATTAAAAGTTTTCTCAAATTTCTTTGTAATAAATTTTATATTTGAAAGAATTTAATTATATTACTTTGAAAAAGTTTTGAAATATAATCGTATTTTTGAAGAATTATATTTCGAAAAATTGTATTTAAAAAAAAAATTTTCAATAAAATTTCAAAAAGAAAGTTTCTATAACTAACAATGGGCTAGAAAATTTCATGCTCGCTTGCGTGCATGTAGTTAAGCTACTTACATAAAAAATAAAAATTTTGGATATATTTTTACTTTTAATTTAATTAAGCTAATTAATTTTTAGAAAGAGTTAAAATTTAATTTAATTTAATTATTAAATTAAGTTATTAAGTTTAATTAGAGCGTTACCATTTCTTGAAGGGTTTGCAGTTCACTGTCGTAACTCGGCCTGGGACCTTCCTTATTCCCTAAATTCGAAACATGTGAATTCTCCAAATATCGCAGAGCAATGTGCGCTAAATGAGCAATATTTTCGGCGTAAGCTGCCCTGACAATAACCGCCTCGTCCTGCGTAAGATGAGCCAAACCTGGTAAAATATATTCTGGAAATATATTTACATCCGATGGAGGAATTGATTTAACGAGATACAAACACTTCGTTAGTGTGTGAATTGCCGAAACTCGTACTCTCGGCGCTGGATCGTGAACCAAGAGAAACTGTAATAAAAAATTATCAATTATAAACATAAATCAATTTTTTTTTACTTCCTATTGAAATAAATTAATCACCAAATTAACAAAATTCAATAAATTTTTAACTTTTTCAAAATTCTTCTATGAAAAGAGTAGATAATAAATTAAAAATGGTATTACATTTTTTTAAATTTGTCAATAAACGAAAAGTAAAAACTTACGATATATGGCAAAATTCGATCCAAAATAGTTTCATCCGATGTATTTTTTGCAAGTTCCAATAATATTTCTAAACTCTGCAATTTCGATTGTGAATGATGTAAACCTCTGATGCATGAGGTTACAAGCTGCGTAACAATGACTAATCCTTCCAAATTGTCCACGGATTTAGTCGAATCCTTCAATTTTTCACTATCTTCTTCCTGCTGTTCTTCGTTTATACTTTCTTCGTCTTTTAGACTTCTTTGGTTCTCTAATTTAACAGAATTTGATTCGTCTATCTCCAATTTCTGATTACTGTCATTATCCATCACAGTATTGCTATTCTGATTATCATTCTCGTCATCACTTTTAATTTCAATTTTTACCACACTTTTAACTTCGTCATTTTTCTCAATTTCCGTTTTCTTCTCCTCCTCCTCCGTCTTTAATATGTTGATGATATATTCAATGTCTTTTTTTAATCTAATAATTTTCTCATCGGGCGATAAAATCGGTGCAGCAGAAAACATTAACATGTATGATTGTAGAAATGAGTAGAAATATTCGGGAAAAATATTTCCTCGTGCTTGTGAAAGATAAATTTCGGCACTTTTTCTTTTTGTCGGATTCTTTTCAATCATCGAGGCCAAAAGTTCTTTAACTCCGACATCCTCAATTTTGTCGAGGTGTTTATTTGCTGAATAATCACCGTTGCGGTATGCTTTAAAGGATGAAATTTAAAAAAAGAGAAATGTATTAAATAAAGAAAATGATTGTGGAAAATGGAATAAGAATTAATTAATTAACAATTACAATAGATTGTTAATTATTCAAATTTCTAAAAAAATTGCCACAAAAATTTGATTTTGTTTCTTCCTAACTTTTTCTTGATTTCCAGAATTTTGACTTTTCTCCTGAACTCCATTAAAAAATTCAATTATAAAAAAATGATTTTTAAAAGCAAAAATTTAATTTAAAACTTTTAACCGTCCACCTATTTAAAAAAAATATTATAGTTATTTTCATAATTTTTTACCAAATTTTTTTTTAAATTGTCAGGTATCTTTAAAAAATTGAATTAAAATTTTTCGAAAACCCATTTTTCAGAATTTTAAACAAAAGGAAACTTAACTGAATAATTTTCTAAATAAATTATTATTAAGTTCTTCACAGAAATTGAAATTTTCAAAAATTTTACTTTAGAAACTGTTTAAATTTAATTCCTATTTCTGAAAATTATTACTGTTTCTAACTTAAATCTTTTATAAGTTAATTATAATTAATAACTTTAAGAAAGTTACTCTAGAATTAAATAATTTAAAAAAAATAATTATTTATAGAAATAAGAAAAATCATGGTATTGCTTTAAAATTCATTGTAATCATGAAAAGTTTTTATGGTGAGAAAAATTATTGAGAATTTAAGATTGAGTTTTTTAAAAACGTTTTTGGAAACCGAAAACTAGAATTTTTGCAGTAATTCTTGAAATTTTATATTTTTCTAACATTTTTGATAACATTCCATGAGATTTTTCTAATTTCCCTGCACAATTTCATTTTTCCCTTATTTTTCTTTGATTTTCCTGCAATGTGACAACCCTGATTAAGGAAAATTTTTGTTTATTTACCTAATAACTGTGAATAATCAAACAGCGGATGACCCTCATTGTAAAGTTCTATTAAAGCACAGCCTGCGGAAAATATATCCATCATTGGATTAAGATCTCCTGTTTTTAATTCTTGTTCTGGCAGTAAAAGTGTAGTATTGCTCACTTCAGACGTAAGTAGTTTAATAAATCGTTCAGGTGCTGTGTAACACGTTCTGAAAATATAAGTAATATTCATTAATATTAATTGAATTGAATAATATTTTTAAAAATTATTTTCGGGAATTTAATTCTTCAAAAAAATGTTAATTCCAATTTTTCAAAAACCAAATTTTTTTTTAGAATTTTCTATATTAAATTACTCAAAACTTCAATAATTTTTGTTAAATAAGTATTTAAAAACTTACGTGTTATTTATTTGTATTGAAAATTCAAATAATTTGAAATTTAAATTTCTAAAAATTACAACTGCAATTTTTCCGGAAGTAAATTTTTTTTTTAAATTTTTGAATAAAATTATTCAAAACTTTAATATATTTTAAGCAAAAATGATACATTATTATTATTTTTAAAACATTTAAATATTATTATAGGTACTATTACGGCGATTAAAATGGTAAAAAGATTTCAATTCAAAAAACTTTAAAAATTTAATTAATTCTTAAAATTCCTGTTATTAATGCTTCTAAGATTCAATTATTTTCCAAAATTTTGACTGAAATTCTTTTTAAAATTAATTCTATCAGAATTCAATTACGAGAATAACATTTTTCAAATAGAATAATTTTTGCAAAATTCAACTATTTTCCAAACTTTTAGTTACAATTCTTAAAAAAATACCTACAATAATATTTTAAAATATTTTTTTAAAGTAATAAAATAAATAAAATAAAATAAAAATAAATTTCTAAATAGAATTTTTCAAATTTGATGAATTTTTATTAAATAAGTATTCTAATACTTATTGTTATTTATTTGTCCACCAGGAATTACAATTTTAAAATACTTTCAATGTAAAACCTTTTGAAATTTAATTATTTCTAAAAATTAAAACTGCAATAAATTTTTCCAATTCTGCAAATATTTTCTAAAATTTAAACTGGAATTCTTTTCCAAATCAATTCTTATCAAAAAGTTGTACGAGAATTCAATTACTTAAATAAATAAATTAATTCTACAGAATTGTTAGTTAAAAGTATGAAAAATTCAGATTTTCAAAGAATTTAATTTTGAAACCTTTTCAAAATTCAATTATTTCTAAAAATTCACTAGAATATCGCTAGAAATTTAATTCCAAATTTATTTCAAATATGTAGTAAAACTTTATTGATTCTCACCTTCTTCTAGACGTGTCAAAAAAATACGAAAAGTCAGCAGGATTATCTTCGGGTAAATATGTGGGTTTAAAACTCGCAAAGTCAGTTAATAAGACCCAATTCCAACTCGTTATCATTATGTTCTCCAATTTAATATCTCCATGACAAACTCCGAACTGTAACATTTTTGTATGTTTAAACATTAATAATATAGTACTTATCAAGTATTTGTTTAATGATTACATGCGCATTTAGAGTAAAGAAATTTTCAAAATAAAATAATTGAAATTAAATGTATTACTACTAATAATCAATATAATTAGTTTAATAATTAGATTCAGTAGTTATTTATAATTACAGAAAAAAAATTGTTTACTTTACCTTGTGTGCTTGATGAAGAGCGTAAAGGACTTGAAAAGTTATCCATTTTTTCTCGATACTGGATAAAAATGGTCTGGTGCTAATGCGATCGTAAAGAGAATATTTCACATATTCTCTCATTATAAATCCAGCTTTTTCTGTAAGCTGCACAAAAATTAGAAAATACATTACTTTTTTTTCAAAAATTAAAAGTGTTTTCAAAATATTAGAGTCATTCCATTTTATCTCGACTTAAGTCGTCGCCGACTAGTTTTAAAAAATTATTATTTTTTGCAGGAATGATTTTAAAAGTATATTAGGATCACTGAACCCTAATACAGGGTGTCTAACAAGGTTTGAGAAAAAAATTCCCTGACTTTTCCCTGACTTTTTACTAAGTTTATTTTTGCTTTCTTGGGATAAAAATATGGTAACTAACATATTTAACAATAAATTAATATCTAATGATAGAAAGAAACGATAATAAAAATCTTCTAAGTTTTGTTAAATTAAAAAAATTTTTTATTCACAAAAAATTTTAATTTTTATATAAATTTTTAGAAATTTTTCGGACTTTCAATGAAATTTTCTGCCATTTCCTGACTTTTCCCTGACCACAAAAAATCCCTGACTTTTCCCTAACTTCCCTGACCGTTAGACACCCTGCTATACCTTTAAAATCATTCCTGCAAAATATTATAATTTTTTAAAATTAGTCGTCGACGACGACTTTAGTCGAAATATAAAGGAATCACTCATTAAAAATGTTTTAATCTTAAAAGTAAAGAGACAGTGGATGAAAGTAATTTTGATATAAAGGCAGCTTACTATCATTCTCTGGAAGGATAAGCAATTAACAGCGGAAGCCAATTTTGATCTAATTTCCTCTAATTTATCTTTATACGCAGACAAAGGCAAAGTTGGATCATGAATGGCAAATACTTTAACAACAATCAATCCTTCTTGACTACGAGCACGAGCCACTTTGAAAAATCTCGTACTTCCCAAACTGAAAATTATTTCCACATTAATTTTATTACAAAAATATATAATTTAAAAATATAAATATAATAATATTATAGACACCTTTAAAATAAGACGTATTTCAATAACTCATAAGAATATAATAAAATAATAACATAAAATATTTACAAATTATTTGATTTTCAATTTGTACTTAGAAAATTGAATTATTATAGGAATCTAATAGTCTTACTAAATAAATAAATTTTTATAATTATAATTATGACGTTATCATGTATATAGTATATTAACAATTTTTAAAAATATTTTTTTAACATTGACAGAATTATCATTTATTAGAATACTCATTAGACATTACAAGATTTTGAAATAAGTAGTAAAAATTTTTTGGAAAATCTATAATTTTTGTTAATTGAGGTAAACAAAAAGTGATTGTTGATTTACCTGATGTCAAATAGCAAATCACTGTGATCTGTCAAATAATGTTCGACAGGAAATATTTGACTTGGAGCAATTCCCACTAGTTGATTTCCCATTTTAAATGAATTTTTGTGCACTACTTATGAATTTAATACTTAATTTGTTAAAAAAAAGATTGTCAATATTCTAAAAAAAATCCATTCTGGAAATGTCAGAATCACTCTGGAATTTTGAGGTTAGATTTAACAGCTGGGGAAAAGACAGTGCAGCACGGATAGCACGCAAGTTCCCACAACCACCCACGATAAGGCGGTTTAAACAAAAACGTCGTGTGTAACGGATTCTGCGAAAGAAGATTTTTTTATTGTTCTGAATGCAAGTGATGACATTAATTTTGTGATTACTTATAGTTCAATAAGTTTGTTGACGTTTCACTTGCTGCGTTGTACACGCAACCTCTAATTTCAAAGATTTGCTGCAGGTATATTAAATTTCTTTCTGACTTTCACTTTCTTTATAATAATTAACTAATAGTGTTCTACTTACATGAGAATTTATAATTTTTATAAATTTTTAGCGTTTTATGAAGGTCTTTGTTTTGGTGCTTTTTAACCTCAAAAAATTACCAAAACAAACATCAGTGAATTTTTTGGCGCCAGCACATAAATTATATAATATAAATTATAAATATATTAATTAAACGCAGTTATGATGTTTTTTTTATAAATAATAAAATTCTTCTCCAAAATTCAATTATTTTCAAAAATTTTAATAAAATTCTTGACAAAATTTCAATTATTTTTCCTCTTCGAAGAAAATCTTCGAAGATTTTTAATATTTATTATTTTAATAAAATTCTCCAAAAGAATTCAATTATTTCAAAAAAATGTTAATAAAATACTACGCAAACCTTTAATTATTTTCATAACTAATAAAAATTTCACAGGAATTCAATTATTTACAAATTTTTTAGAAATTTCTTTGCAATACATAATTAAATTATTTTCAAAAATTTGAATAACATTCTTGACAAAAATTCAATTATCTTTGTAAATTAACAAAAATTTTAATAAAATTCTTGTCAAACATTCAATTATTTTCAAGAATAATAAAATTTTTACCAGTAATTCAATTATTTTCATAAATAATAAAATTTATTGCAAAATTCCAATTATTTTTAGTTTTTTATAATACACAATTTTAATCGAATTCGTCGAAAAATGAAATTCTTAAAAATTTGTTTATGAGAATTAATTTTTAAAAAACATTCAATTATTCAATAAATCATTTATTTTTGTATTTAAATAATTGAATTTTCGTAGAATTTTTTAATAAAAATTAATTTAAAAATGAATTGCAGATAAAATTTTAGAGATTAATTGAATATTAAAAGCGTTTTATTGTAAATTTTTTGAAATAATAATTGAAAATTTCAATTTCTCATACTTTTAAGTAACTAAAAATTCTGTAGAATTAACTTTTTTTTAAAAAAAGTTCAATTTAATTTTGTTTTAATTCTCCCAAAGAAATTTATTATTTATGAACATAATTTAATTCTTACGAAGAATTTTATAAATTATAAAAAAAAATTGAATTGTTCTAAGACTTTTAATAAAAATATTTGGAAATATAGTTAAATCCATTCAAGGATTTTAATTAAAATTTCATTAAAATTAATTGAATTTTTTAAAAGAATTTTATGAAAATTTTGTTAAATTGAATTTCATAAAGAAATTTTATTGAAAATAATTTAATTTCTCTGAAGAATTTTAGAATTTACGAAAATAATTCAATTCTTGTCATAGTTAAGAATGGTTAAGAACTTTATTACAATTTTTGAAAATAATTAAATTCTTTCAAAGAATTTTATTAAAACTTTTTGAAAATAAATGTCTAAATTCTTAAAAAGAAAATTAATTAAAATTGTATTGTAAATAATTGAATTCTTTAAAGAATTTTATTAAACGAATTATATTATTTATGAAAAAAATTGAACTTTTGAGAAAAATTTTTTTAAAATTTTTGAAAATAATTATTAAATTGTTTCAAAAAATTTTATTGTTATTTCAGAAAATAATCAATAGTAATAATTAATTGCCAATAAATAAATTTTTAAAAAATTTCAAACAAAAAAGAAAATGTTATCATTTTTAAAAAACATGATAATCGCTTCAAATTGACAACTCGTATTTAAATAACAAAACATTTCATTACATTTAAATAATTTTCTTTGACTGTTTCGTTTTTTTTGTTCATCGCAAAAAACAACAATAGACAATTGTTGATGAGTCAGGGATATTTTAATTGCATGTATATTTGCATATTAATTTTTAGACTCGTCAAATAAATTTTGTCACACATTTTATTTTATTCTGAAATAAACTATTTTTAAATGTAGGTACTAAACAAATTTTCTTTGCTTGAAAAATCACTTTAATATTAGCAATAAATTTTTCCAAAGAGTCGTTCGTTATGAAAAGTAATCGCGTATGTGGTATGAGTCACGTTTCTATTATAAATTATATTGTGAGAATAAGAATGAAGGATTAATAATTTAAGACAATAGGTCATCCTTGCGATCATGATATATGTTAAAGATTTTTCTCTCGAAACTATCAGATCGATTTTACTTTTTACCTGTAGATATTTATTCTATATTGTATGTTTATTTATTTTCATATTCCTCATCTTTGTTTTGGGATCAAAATCCATATACTCTCAGGAAGTAAGAGGCAAGTAAATAAAAAAACCTCTTCTACGTTGCGAAAACTCTTTACTCGTGAAAGTACAACTCACTTTTGCACTTATATTGCGTTTCTTGAACAGTTATATTAGTATTTTCCGCTTGTATACGAGACGTTGTTTGTCGTTTTTTCTCTCTCGAGGAAAAATAATTTTCCTAACAATTAAAACATAAGGGAAAATTTTTTTTAGTGTTTCTGATAATTAGAAAAAATTTTTAAGTTTCCTTTGAAAGTAAATAGTGAAATTTTGAAAAATATTTGTTTTGATACTAGAAATTTGTTTACAAACAGTTTTGTGATATAAAATGTTTTATTATTTACAGACCAAATAAATTGATGATGATGAGGAAAAAGTATCTTTCCCAACATTTCTAACTACATTTGTCACCGGATGCGGTTATAGTTACTTCGAAATATCGAACAAAAACTCCAGAAATGATTATTCAGAAGTGATGACTAATGTGTGTATGCGTATTATCAAGGTACTACAGGTGCGAGAATACAATGTCATAATAACTAATCCCTCGTTCCACATTCTGGATTACTTTATTATAAATCATCGTCGTAAAGTGCTTCTTTCAATCTACTTTCACCTCATCGATGACGAGATTTCTTCAATTTTTTATTTCAATGGTAATTTATTGATTAATCATTGCTGAATCCATTTTTACAACAAAAACATTAACTCAATTAGGAATTAATATTTATTTACAAACAATGAGAGAAGTTCTAGCATTTTATTCTCTATTTATGGATAAGAATGTATTTCTTGTTTCTTATTTTTATACAAATTTTTAGAATTATTATGTTATTATTTTTATTATCATAATATTTTTCCTTATTAATTTTTTTAACACTCTCTTATTAAATTGTTCATTTCGTGAATTTAACTTTATTTAAAAAAATTCATTTGATTCAAGTTTGAAATTTTCCAACTTTTTTTTATCAAATTAAAACTTTTTTCACTAATGGTAACAAATCCAAATTTAAGTAATTTATTTAGACATTTATTGATTTTGATTAAAGTGTGATCAATCCAAAGTTTTGTTTATTAAAATTCAGAGTTGCCACAGGTCAGAGAAAAGTCGGGGAATTTTTATCAAAACTACTTAAAAAATATTAAATTTTTAGAATTCAGAAGAAAAATTTGGATTTTAATTCCCAACAGCCTTTTGAAAATAAGTAAATATTAAACAAATTTATGTAATTCTTTTTGAATTTTTTTTTTAGTTACATTATAAAACTTTGAAATTATCGCGAATTTTAATCCAAAGATAATTGAATTTTAGAAGAGATGCGTTTACATTTTTTATAAATAATTAAATTTCAAATTGAAATCTTAGATTAAAAGTTTTAAGAATTCACTTATTAAGTACATAATTAATTATTCTTGTTTCTTATTTTCAAAAAATTTTGATAATATTATATATTCTTTGGAAGAATTCAATTATTTAATTTAAAAATAGTAAAATTCTTCGCAGGAATTCAATTGTTTTCAAATAAATTTTAATAAATTTTCACGAAAGGATTCAAGTATTTTTAAGAATTTTTTTTAAAGAATTCAATTACCTAAAATTTTGATAAAATTCTTCGAAGCAATTCAATTATTTTTATAAATTTTAAAATTCCTCTCAAGAATTCAATTATTTTCAATACTAATTTTTGAGCTAATTTTAAAAAAAATTTTCGAACGGTTTCAATTATTTTTAAAAGTTGTAATAAAATTTTACTAAAAAATTCAATTATTCCCAAAAGTTCAGAACTTTAGGATCGCTTTTAATAAAATTTCTCGAAAGAATTCAATTAATTTCAAAATTTTAATAAAATTGTTCAAAAAATTCAGAACATTTAAAAAGAAAAATTATTAAAAAAAATTAGGAAACAAAAAAGCAAAATTTTTCTAAAAAAAAGAAAAAACTTAATTTTTAAAACATTTAATTCTTGAAAATAATTTTGAAGAAGTTACAGATAGTAGGTAATTCTTATAAATTACTGAATTTCAAAATGGCCTGAAATTAAAAATTTTTTATAAATCTTAATTTTTATTGGAAAAGTCATGGAAGAACAAAATAAAATTTCTGTGGCAACTCTGAAATTAAAATTTATTTAAATTTAAATTTTTTCAAACTAATAAATTTCTATTTGATATAAATTTCAATCCTATTCAAATTTTGTGTTTAAATTTATTATTTTGTTTTAAATGTTCCTAAAGTTTTGAATGTTCAAATGAATGACGATATTTTTTTGCTTCTTTTAATTTGTATTTTTTTATAAAGAAAATAATTTTGTTTCTTAAAAAAATAAATTCTTGAATAAGTAGGTAAATATTTAGTTTTCATTATTATTCTTTTTTGTATAGTATTTTTTAAAAAAAAATTTAAATAAAAAACAAATTTCGTTCATTTGAACGTTCAAAATGTTGGGAAAATAAGACTTTTTTTATTTTTTTTTTATTTGTCGAAAAAAAGGAAAAAAGAATTCAAAGAGTATTTCTTTAAATTATGAACGATATAAAATTAATTGAAATTATTTTGTCGAATATAATTCTCAGCTCAATTAGTAAATTTTAATTGGTTTAATTAATGAAGCATGTCAACTGATGGTGACAATGTGCATGTTACTCAGGACTTGTACAGTTGAACAAACAATGCAAGTGTGGGTTGCAATTTCATGATTTTAAATGAATGTCGCCAAATCCGTCGGTATAATTCGTTGAGTAATTTTCTGAAGGCTAAACCACATAAATTGCATTCTCTTCAGTAAACTATTTGAATTTCTACTCCAACACAAAAAACAAGTTTTACACGATTTTTGTCTTTAAGAAACTTTGTTCTATATAAAAGTTTAGTCTCGAACCCTTGTGTGAGCAGGGAGAGTAAATAAATAAATATACTATATAAAAGTTTATAATTTCAGTTTATGAACTAATTTTCCAGTTTTTCAAAGTTATTTCTTTGAATTCTTCAAACACTATTTATTTTTCTTTTTACATTTAAAATTGCGTTTAAATTTTCGTGACGTTTGCTCTCGCTCGATTTTTAAAATTTCGTTTCGATTTTTTCAGGAAATTTTGTTATATTTTATTTATTTTCGAGTTTCTCGAACTTTTTGTTTCTACAGAGTTGGCACAGGTCAAGAAATTCAGGAAATTTAGGGAAAAATCAGGGAAAGTAGAATTGGACAGGGAAATGATTACAGAAATTCAATTATTTTAAATAATAATAAAATTCTTCACAAAAATTCAATTACGTTCAAAAAATTTTTTAAATTCTCGTAAAAATTTAAATTATGTTCAAAATGAATAAAATTCTTCTCCGATATCCAATGATTTTCAATACCTTCTATTTTAATAGAATTTTTCAAAAGAATTCAATTATTTAAAGAAAATTTTGATAAAATTTTACGCAAACATTTTATTATTTTCATAAATAATGAAAATTACATAGGAATTCAATTATTTACAAATTTTTTATTAATTTCTTCTCAATAGTTCAATTATTTTCATAAATAATAAAACTCATCGCAGAATTTAAATTATTTTTAATACAATTTTGATCGAATTTCTCGAAAAATTTTACTACAATTTGTCGAAAGAATTCAATTATTTCAAAATTGGTTGATAAAATTCTTTATAAGAATTGAATTTAAATAAATAATCAATTATTCATTCAATTATTTATTTTTGTATTTAAATAATTTAATTCTCGTAGAATTTTTCAATAAAAATTGATTTAAAAAGGAATTTCAGTTAAAATTTTAGATAATAATTAAATATTAAAAGCATTAATGTAAATTTTTGGAAATTAATTAAGTTTCAAAAAATTTTTAAATTGAAATCTTTGACAATTTTATATAATTCAATTCCTACCGAAATAATTGAATTCCGGCAAAGAATTTTATTAGAGTTGTTAAAAATAATTGAATTATTTAGAAGAATTTTATTAAATTTTTTGAGATGAATTGAATTGTTTTAAAGAATTTTATTAAAACTTTTGAAAATATATGTAATAAATTCTTTAAAAGAAATTTAATTAAAATTGTACTGTAAATAATTGAATTCTTTTAAAGAATTTTATTAAAATTTCTAAAAAAAAATTGAATTTCATCAAGAAATTTTATTAAAATTGTTTTAAAATAATTGAATTCTTCTGAAGGACTTCATTTCTTATCAAAATAATTTCAATATTTTAAACGAATATTATTCAAATTTTTAGAAATAATTGAATTCTTGTGTAAAATTTTATTGAATATAATTGAATTCCTGCAAAAAATTTTATTAGAGTTGTTGAAAATAATTGAATTGTTTCGAAGAATTTTATTACATTTTTTCAGAAGAATTGAATTTTTTCAAAAAATTGTTAAAAAAAACTTTTGAAAATAATTTATTTGTTCAATTTTGTATTTTACAAATGAAAAAAAAAAATGTTATCACTTTTTAAATTTATTTGTAGAAAATGTTTAATTGAATTTTTTTTTTAAATTAATACAAGTTTTTATTTTCTAATAACAATATTCTTTATAATATAAAAAAATAATTTTATCGTTCGTTAATTTTTAAAAATTGATTACTCCGAGTCGTCGACTCGGTGCAATCGATTTCTTCATGTTTTATAACAATTTTTTATAAGTTTAATTTCAAAAAGGTTTGAATTTGAATGTTTTGGAGAATTTTAATTCCTACGGAAAAGTAATAATGATTAAATATTTATTTGAAAAAGAAATTATTGATGTTTTCGAATGGAAATTCGTAAATAAATGTAATAGAACATTTTTTTGAGTATCGAATAATTTTTGGAGTGAATCAGAATTTTCTTTAGACTGAGAGAAAAAGTCAAAATTTTATCTGGAAATCACAGAAAATTCAAGGAAAAAGAAAATTTAATTTTTGTGGCAACTCTCTTCTAGTTTATTTTTCATGGAATGAAATCCGTTTTATTATTATTTTATTTTAATTTTTAAACTTTGTGAAATTAATTAAAAAAAATTTTTTTTTGTCCACAGGTGGAAAAATAAGAAAATAAATTTTCTTTTTGGTAAAATTGAATCAAAGCACAGTTGCGTGTTTGCATATATATATATGTGTAAAGGAGTCTGAGTAGTTAAACCGTTGAAGAAACGACACACATTCTTGGGTATCCCTCATGGCATTGGAACGCTTTAAGATAACGTAAAATTACAGAGAATTAGTGACAGTCGTAGTTCGACCGCGGCGCGTTGAAGCCTTTCGCGCCACTTCTAAAACTCCCGCAGCATTGAACAATCTTCGACAAATGTCTATAAACAAGTGAAAGTGATTCTTAACCGTGACATTATGCAAAAATTTCAATAGTACGTGAAATTTCAAAAATTTTAATTCACTTTTAAAATGCAATGACAAATTTTCCAATTCAAATTTCAAATTTACAAAGAAATTGAAAAAAAACTGAATATAGTTTTTGTGTAACGTATTTTTTTCTTTTTCGAAAATGAAAACAAGTTTTTTATAATTGTGATTTGTAAAGGATCGTCGTGATCCAAGGATATTTTATTATTTAATCGTCTTGAAGGAGGTAAATATTTGATTTTTAAATTCTAGTCAAACGTGATTCGATTAACAATAAATTACAATAATCAATAAAATTTTTTTCCTTAATTTGCTAAAGAAGGAAATATTTCGATATTAATTTAAAATTTGTTAATTAATTACTAAATTTTTTAATAAATTAATTATTAACTTATAAATTAGTAAACTAGAAAAATAACTAAATAACTGAATTCTTTTCAAGTTCAAATTCAATTTCAATGTAACTTGACTTTTTCTCTGGAAACTGAAAATAAGTGTGAACATCACTATATCGAATAATGGAATTCGCGACTGTCGATTATTATCAATTAAAACTTTAATTCTATAATTGTAGTAAAATGTTCGAAATCGTTGAATAGTGTACCGGCTTTTTTCTTCTTTGGAAAAAATGTGTAATTATGGAAACAGATGGTGTAGAGATTAGTAAACGTTTTGACAGAGTTGCTATTTCGAACGCCGTCTAGCTAGGGGGGCGAGTCTGATAAATTTATTTTTAGAGGACTCAGCAAGTTATTAACCCTTCGTGGAAAGTGCGGTTGGGTGGAAATGTTTGTGTTTCTCCATCCCCCAATAATAAGTTATAAAATCATTTTTGAACTTGTGCCCAAAATTATGAATTTCGCCTCAAACTTGACAATTTTCGTATTTATATACTAAAAGATCTGAGTTTAATAAAGAAAAACATGAAAAGTAAATATTTCGGAAATAATTTTCGAAAATTATTTCTGAAATTTACTTTTATTTTACTTTCATTATTTTATTAATATTTAATTATTATTATTTAATTCATTTGCATTAATTATTTACTAACGAATATATATTTGATAAACTTCTATCGGGAAAATTATAAATTTCCCATTTAAAAAAATACTAGAATGAAAAAAATCGTCGATTCACAAGTGACCTAAAAAAGTAATTGATAAATAATTCACTTGGTAATAAAACACACGATAATCTTTCTTATAGGTAAAAAAGTTTATTTTGTACTGATTATGGTTCCTTGACCCCGCGAAAGGCAATCGATAAGCCACTGTTCTCTGATTCAATCGAAAAATATCCTTTCTATTGTCGTCGCAAAAATACAAGTTAAAATTTAAAAATAGAATCAAATTAATTGCAATTGAATATGAAAAAAACAATCATTGATAAGATCGTGGCAATAAATATTTAAAATTTACAATATTATCAGATCAATAAATTTTAGTGTATATTATAATTAATGGTCTCTCGACAGAGTGTAAAAAAAATAAAAATAATTGTTAAAATTTATGATTTCAGATAGGATCAAGGATACGATGAACAAAGCAGAATTAAATATTGTCCTGCGGGCGGAATCCCCGAGAAGTTCCACGACCATGAATCACTCTCATATTCCGGTTCCAAAAATTTCGAGTACAATAAAGTTGCACGACCGTCTACCGCCAAGGCGTGAATCATTGGAGAAATCATCATCATCATCGGGAAAATCAATATCAGTGGCGGCGCAGCGAGCGGCTTTTGAAAAATTAGACGCTAATGCAACTGTTTGTCAAAAATTACGTAACAATTTGAATTTATCTAATGTTGAACTACGACATTCCGAGGGGAGATCGTCGCCTGCAAGGAAATTTGAATATAGTCCACTAAGTCCAAAATTAAATAATTCACGTCTCAATGGGCCGTGCAGTCCAACTTTAAATCGAAGTAATAGCTTTTTGGAGAATAAATGGAAAAATAAATTTGAGGACTCGGAAAAGCGGCGGAAACTTTTGCTACAAAAAAGCGAATCTGGTAAAAAGGGATTTTGTTCTTCTTTTAATGATTAAAATTTAATTTTATTTACTAATATGGTTCAAATTTGAGAAACGTTAATCGAATTGCTTGAAATATTTAATATTATTATTGAATATAGATAAATAATAATAATAAATAAATAAAACAAGAGAAGAAAATCTATTTTTGATTTTTTTCATCTATATTCCATAATAAATTGAACATAGAAGAAAAAAATCAAAAATAGATTTTCTTTTATTGTTTTATCAAAGTTTCAGTTCATATTTTCAAATTTAAATTTGAAAATTTTTAATTATTTATCAGGAAAATTAGATTTTCTTATCACACCTCGGGTAGAATGATTTTTTCGAGTTGAAACGGCTTTGTTTCTAATTTAAAAATTTTTTTTACAATGCTAAAAAAAGAAATTATTCTTATTTAAACAAATTTTAACAATTTAACTTTAAACATTTAGAAAAACTTTTTTTTATTTAGACTAAGAGTTAAACTTGTTTTTAGATTTTTATAAATTTTGACAAGTAACTTAAGAATTAAAACAAAATAAACTATGGAGAGTTGCAATTTTTATAAAAAAAACAAGCATAACTACAAACGCGCGTAAAATTTTAAAGCTAGTTAGTTACAAAAACTTTCTTTTTAAAATTTAATGAAAATTTATTTTTAAAAAATACAATTTTTCAAAATATAATTCTTAAAAACATGCGATTATATTTCAAAACAGTTATTAACTGTAATAAAATTAAATTCTTTCAAATATAACATTTATTTGAATGGAATTTGACAAAATTTTTAATTGTTTCAATTTTTTAAATTATTTTCGGAAATTCAATTATCTTTTTAAAAAAAATTTTTATTAAAATTTTTCAAAAACCTAATTTTTCTAGAATTTCAACTTATTAAATTATTCAAATTTTAATCATTTTTGTTAAACAAATATTTAAAAACTGATTGTTATTTATTTTAATTGAAATTTCAATGTAAAACCTTTTAAAATTTAATTATTTCCAAAAATTCAATTATCTTTCAAAATTTTAACTGAAATTTTTTTTAAATCAATTCTTATTAGAATTTCCTATTTTTCAGTTTTTTAAAATTATTTTCGGTAATTCAACATTTTTTAAAAAATTTTAATTACGATTTTTTAAAAGCCTCATTTTTTTAGAATTTCTAAATAAAATTTTTCAAATTTCATTAATCTTTGTTTAATAAATAGTAGAATATTTATTGTTATTTATTTTTCCTCTGCAGGAATTAAAATTTCAAAAATACTTTGATTGTAAAACCTTCTGAAATTGGATTTTTTCTAAAAATTATAACTGCAATTCTTCTAATTCTTGAAATATTTTTTAAAACTTGAACTGAAATTCTTTTTCGAATCAATTCTTATCAAAAAGTTGTACGAGAATTGAATTATTTAAATACAAAAATAAATAATTCATTATTTCAAAAAATTTCAACTATAATTCTACTTATGGATTTTTTTAATTTGAAAAAGAAAATTTATAAACTATTTTAGATTTTGAATCATTTTATATTTTTTGAATACTTTGAATAAAATTTCATTCCTTTACTGTCCTGTTAAAATTCTGTTATTGTAAAAAATTCTAGAATAGGGGAATTAATTTCACTAAAATGATAATCATTCTGTTTGCAAATTAATTATCAAACTTATGACATGACAATTTGAGTTAATTTATTGAAAGATGAGTTTTATTTAATAATTCACGAAAATAATTAAAACATTACAGATGAGTTGAGTTAGTAGAAACTTTTATAAATAATTACCTAACTTTCAAAAGGTTTCAAATTAAATGTTTGAAAATTTCAATTTTGACTAACTTTAATTAAAAATATGATAATTTTTTAAAAATTACAGTTATAGTTTTTAAAATAAATTTGTTGAAATTGGTTGAATTTTTGAAATTAAAAAACTGTCAAATAGTCGGAATTTCGTAATATTGAATTAAAAACAATAAAATTTAATACAAATTTTAAGAGAATTTTTCTATTTTTAATTAATTAAACTCTCGCTTGGAGAACTTTCTAACAATTATTAAAAATAATTGATTTAGAGAAAATTTTAGTTAATAATTCTAGAAAATAATTAAATTCTAAAATAGTTGCAGTATCGATTTTTGAAAATTAAATCCCAGAAGGTTTTAAATTAAAATTTTTAGAAAATTTCAGTTGAAAATATTTAACAATATTTAAATACTCATTAAAAAAAATATTAAACCTTGGAATAAATTTAGTTAAAAGTTTCAGGAAGTAGGTAATTGAATTTCAGAACAAGAATCACAGTAGTAATTTTTAAAAATTACATTTTTGTTATTGAAGTATATTTTGTTATAAAAAATTGTATTACAATTGTTGAAAGTAATCGTGTTTTTTGAAGAAGACTGTAAAATATCAGAAAAGTGTTTGAAAATAATTAAGTTTTACAGAAAATTAAAGTTATATTGGGATAAAGGAAAAACATTTTTCGGGAAACAAGGGAAAAGTCAGGGAAATAAAAGATCAAATCAAAATATTTTGTGACAACTCTAAATAAAAGAAACTACTTTTTTTATTTTTTCTATACACTTTGAATCGACTAAAACGACTTTTTTTGGGTCTTAAAGGCGATCCTAGGCCTTTTCTTTAAATGGGTTTTAATTTTTAAATTTAAAAAAATTTTTGAAAAATAGTTTCAAAGTCAAAGTAATTTTGTGTTTAATAATCAATATCAAGTTTGAAATGTAAAGTGTTAATTTTGACTGTTTTGACCTTAGTTCGAGTGAGTCGCAGTAATTACTAATATAGAAGGGCACAGATCAAAATTGTAGTTCATGGTTACAAATTGATACAGGCATCTTGGTCATTATAGTGATTCATTCGCTTATGCAGATTGAAAGAGCAATATCGTACATAAGCTTAGTCACAAAGTTCATGCGTGGTCAAATAACAAATGATAAATGTTATAATTAAAATGTAATTCCATATATTAGTTTCCTCTACATCGTGAAAAATTCGATTCAATCATTCTTCCAGTAATTAATTTATGACACATAATTAAACGTTTTATTTTAGTATTTACAATGAAACTTTACCAATTTTATCGCAATTTTCCGCTATTTTTATTTAGTTTTAATTTTTTACATTCTCATCTCCAAGATCTTGGTTTTATTATACAACAAAAATTGTAAGTTTAAAATGTTATAATTAGAATTTAATTTAAGACATTTGTTCTTTTTCAAATTTATTTCTCAACTTTTTATTTAACCTAAATTTTTTACACTATATCATCTTCAAGATCTTGGTTTTATTAATAGAAAAAAATTGCAAATTACTAGAGAGAAAAATAAATTTGAAAAATGACAAGATATAAATGTAAATTTGTGGTTATTTAAAATGATAATTAGAATTTAATTTAAAATAGTCTAGAAATAAAGATGTGTAAAACGTTTTTCAAAAAGTAAATTGTGTCAATGCAAAAGAATAAATTTTAGCGCACTTGTTATTCATTGAGTGATTGTAATCGCGTATGTGATTCTGCCTATTGCATTTTTTGAAAAAGCAGAGTTACGCCCTTCTGTCAATACTCCACATTATAATATATTATAATTAGATGAATCATTTGTACTTGAAGCGTTAAATGTATAAGTAAACAAAATTTTCATTTATTTTTTTTTCAATAACAGTCTATTTTTAAAAATTCTTTCATTATTTAAATTTTTGTTATAATATACAAATTGAATTCTCCAAGTTTTAAATATTTAAATAAACACAGTTTTCATTAACTTTCAATAAGCAATCTATTTTTAAAAATTTATTCATTTTTTCTAAAATTGTTAAAAATTATAAATTGTATTTTTACTATTGCATGGAATTTTTATCTAAATATAGAAATTTATATTATTTCTTGATTAAAGATTAGTTATTCATTAAGATTACAAAAAATTGGATGAATATTAAAAAAAAAGAGAATTTTATCTTGATTATTTTAATATTTTTGTAATTTACCTTTACGAGTAAAAATTACAAAATTTCTATTGATCTCTAATTTTTTTAATATAATACAAATTCCATGAATAATAAAAATTTAAACTATAAATTATAACAATTGAAACTAATGAACAAATTTTTAAAAACCTTTTTATATAAGTTTTTGTGCAAACTTAATGTTAACTAACGTAGAATTAAAAATTTTAATTGTATTGAACTTAATTTTTTTTTTAAATAAGAAAACACTATATATTAATAAACTTTTTCTAATTTTTGATATTTTACGTGTTTCAGTAAATAAAGAAAATTCCGATTTAGAGAAGAAGTATCAACAATTGCAGAGGCAGAATAGTAATCTTCAATCGCAAGTACATGATAAGGAACAAAAACTCCAAAAGTTGCGGACAGGTAATTTGATTTAAATAGTTTGCAAAAACTTTATTTTTCTTCTATTAAAAATTAATAAGGAAATTGAAAACCTTCAGCTACTTTCAAATTAAAATTATTAATTACATTTTGTTGAAATTGGATTTTTTAAAAATTCATTTTGTAATTAATTTTACAAGAGATTATTAACTAAATAATAACACAAGTGTTACAAATACAAAGAAGGAAAATTACTTTTAACCGAATCTATCATTACTTATTCTTCTTAAAAAAACTTAAAAAAAAATGGTACGTTTTAAATCAAAAAATTTAATTTTTAGAGCTAAAAACCTTTTTTTTAAGTTAATGCATAAAATAGCTTGTCACTTTGTCTTTTTTAGTTTCAACTCAGTTTTCATTTTAAAGCTAGAAAAAGGGGTTTTAAAGCCTAATATGTGTTTTTAAAATTTTTTATCATTTCCATTGTAAGGATGAGATTTTTTCTAATAAATTATGTAAATTTTAAAAGTGGGACAACAAAGAGTTTTCAAGGAAATAAAAAAACAACTTTTCAAATACTTTTTATTTATTTTATTGAAAACTCATTTAACTTAACATAATTTACTAAAAAAAATCTTAGCTTTCTAATAAAAATGATAAAAAATTAAAAAAAGAGGTAGTTTCTGTAAAAATTAAAAAATAACGTTAATTTTAGAAAAAAGGGACTCAATAAAATTTTTTTTGAAATTAAAAAATTTTTAGAATCGAAAAATACACAAAAAAATGATTTAAAATTCACTATATAAAAAATAATATCGTCTTATTTTTCTATAAGTTGTGTCAATTAATCAGGGATCACAGTCCCCTTTTTTATCCCCTTAAATTAATAAAATCCTATATATAAAATAAGAAAAACTTGTAAAAATTGGCATTTTTTGTAAGTTAGAAAATTTTTTAGTTATGCTTGAAGAACAAATATTTACTTTTCGCAAACTTTGGAAAAATTGTAATATTTTAAAACTGAAAAATCTTTTTTTTTATAAAAATTATTCAAATTTTACTCGAAAATTACAATTAACTATTAAATATTCTTATTTTTAGAGTAAATTTTACTATTTTTGAAATAAATTTTTCTAATTTTTATAAAAAAAATTGTCTTTAAAAATAGTAAGTTATTCTGGAAATAACAATTTTTTATATTAAATTTTACTGTTTATCAAAGAAATTTTCACAAGTTTCAAGTTAGTTTTACTAATTTTTTTTCTGAAATTTACTTCACATATTGTAAAATTCATGTAATTTACAACAAAAATAGCGTTGTAATGAAAATTTTGATTGAAAATTTAATAAAAGTTACAGAATACGAAAAAAGATAAAAAAAATATTAATAATTAACAGAAAAAATTTAACAAAAAAAATAATTTGATTTAAAAAAGCTGAAGTTAAAAGAAAATTTTTTAGAGTAAATTTTACTATTTTGAAATAAATTTTTCTAATTTTTATAAAAAAATTGTCTTTGAAAATAGTAAGTTATTCTGGAAATAACAAGTTTTTATATTAAATTTTACTGCTTAAATTTTAAATAAATTTAAATACTTAAAATTAAATGTTTAAGTAAACAAAATTTTCATTTATTTTTTTTTTCAATAACAGTCTATATTTAAAAATTCTTTCATTATTAAAATTTTTGTTCTAATATACAAATTGAATTTAAGATTTTAAATTTCTGAAAATAATTAATTAATAATTAATTAAAAATAATTAAAAATAATTAATTAACTAATAATAATTAATTTATTAGAGTCATTCCATTATATTTCGACTAAAGTCGTTGCTGACTAATTTTAAAAAATTATAATATTTTGCAGGAATGATGTTAAAGATATTAGGATCACCGAACAAAAAGAATTTTTTAAATATTTTTTATATTTATTGTAAAATAAGCATCTAAAGTATATGAAGTCGTAAAAACTGTCACATTTTCATCTATTAGAAAATATTAAAGAAAACACATAATTTACTATAAAAATGTAAAAAAGTTATAAGAATTTATTAAGAATGAATTGTTTTATTATTATAAATTGATAGAAACAATTATTAATAAGAAATATTAAATAAAAAAGGATTTTAAAGTTCACCTGCCAAATAACCTAATTTTGCAAATTTCATTCACTAAATGTGAGAAAGAGAAATCATTAAATTGAATAAAACCTTATGAAATATAAAGAACCTGTGATTAACTTTTAGTTTTTCTTATCACTTTCTTCCTTTTTTCTTCATAAATGTTAAAAAATAAGCAATTAAAACTGGCACTTTGCTTATTTTCACGATTTTAAAATGCAAATAACTTCTGCCCAGAAAAATGAAAAATTACGAAAATTGGACAATAATTATTTGATCACTAAATACACTCACTGGAAAAAGATTTTCTTTGGTCCCGAAGCTATTTTCCGAAATAATTAATTTTAAACTTTTCACTATTTCTATCAGGTTAATACATGTGATTTTTTTAAAACTGAAGTTGGTTCAAAACGATTAAACAAGAAGAGCTAACTTCGTCCTTTAAAAAACACATGTATTAACCTGATAAAAATAGTAAAAAGTTTAAAGTTAATGAATTCGGAAAATAGCTTCGGGACCAAAGAAAATCTTTTTCCAGTGAGTGTATCTAGTGATCAAATAATTATTGCCCAATTTTCGTAATTTTTCATTTTTCTGGGCTGAAGTTATTTGCATTTTAAAATCGTGAAAATAAGCAAAGTGCCAGTTTTAATTGCTTATTTTTTAACATTTATGAAGAAAAAAGGAAGAAAGTGATAAGAAAAACTAAAAGTTAATCACAGGTACTTTATATTTCATAAGGTTTTATTTAATTTAATGATTTCTCTTTCTCACATTTAGTGAATGAAATTTGCAAAATTAGGTTATTTGGCAGGTGAACTTAAAAATCCTTTTTTATTTAATATTTCTTATTAATAATTGTTTCTATCAATTTATAATAATAAAACAATTCTTTCTTAATAAATTCTTATAACTTTTTTACATTTTTATAGTAAATTATGTGTTTTCTTTAATATTTTCTAATAGATGAAAATGTGACAGTTTTTACGACTTCATATACTTTAGATGCTTATTTTACAATAAATATAAAAAATATTTAAAAAATTCTTTTTGTTCGGTGATCCTAATATCTTTAACATCATTCCTGCAAAATATTATAATTTTTTAAAATTAGTCAGCAACGACTTTAGTCGAAATATAATGGAATGACTCATTATTAATTTAAAAAATTCAAATCTTTATAAATTCAATAACTTATAAGAATATTTTTATAAAACATGAAGACAGCGATTGCTCCGAGTCGAAGACTCGGAGTGATCGATTTCTTCATGTTTTATAAAAATTAAAGATGACCGAGTGATAAAATCATTGTTTCATTTTCTAAAAATATTATTACAGTAACTTTTTCAAAATTATTTTTATCATTTCAAATCAATTATTATTTTCTACAATTTTTAATTATTTTTTTCTAAAAATAATTGAATTCTTTAAAAAAATTTTATTATTTATTAAAATAATTGAATTATTGCGAAGGAATTTATCAAAAAATTTGTAAGTAATTGAATTCCTGTGAAATTTTTATTTTTTTTTATGAAAATAATTAAATGTTTGCGTACTATTTTTCGAAATTTAAAATTGATTTGAAAATAATTGAATTTTGGGGAAGAATTTTGGTATTTATAAAGATAATTGGGATTTTGACGAGAATTTGTTTTTAAATTTGAAAGATAATTGAATTTTTTGAGAAGAATTTTATCACTCTTGAAAGTAATTGAATTTCTGCAATTATTTGTAATTTTTCCAAAATTTGATTTTCTTTTAGTGTTTTTAACAAAAATTTGAATTACAAATTTCTAAATTCTATTATTTTTGAAATTGCTAATTTTATTTTAAAAAGTTGCTAGTATAACTAATAATTAATCTAAAAAGTAATTAGAATGTTTGAAGGAAAATTTCTAAAACAAATGATTGAGAGATTAATTTATACCGTGCATTGTTATTGTCATTGAGAAAAATTAACCTGAATAATGAATGATGTAAAATATTTGAAGATTTCCTTATAAATTTTTTTTGAAGATGTCATGGCTTCGTTCATTGCTAAAAGAAATTTGTGTTTATCATACAAATAACGTATTTCCTTCAACAGTTTCCGAGGCGGTCTGTAAAGAGTATGAGCAGCTTAAGAGGCAATATGACGTCGAGACAGGAGCAATGCATAAAGCTATGCAGCAAGCATCTCAAGTAGGGCGAATATAATCACTCTTATTATACTTACAAGTACTTCCGTGATGTTAAATCGGATTACATACTCTACGTATATTGTATTTTTAATATCAAACTATACACTTGAAACCTTTATTTTATCACTCTTTTAATTTTCAATTTTTTTTCTTATTTCCAGTGGTACAGACAGAATCGAGAACTTAAAAGAAGATCTCAGGTGATAGCACAAAAGATATTGGAATCCAATCCGGAAGGACTGCCGGATGTCGATTTGTCCGATGAGGTTGACTCAAATAATGAAGATCTTGAACAACTTCGAGAAACTGTTCGAGGTATTGAGGGAATTTTCTACTTCTCCATTTTTTTAAACAGTAGAAACAAAAAATAATTCTACTATCTATCTTTCTTTTCCTCTATCTTCTTCTTCTTCTTTCTATTCTATTCTATATTAATAATCGTTGTATTTTTATAATCTGTTCGTAGTTTGAAGTTAGTTGTTTTCGTTTGCTTTTTGTTTCCTAATTTTTTTTTAATCATTTTTCTGATTTTTCTTTTTAATGTTTTGAATTTTAAAAATAAAATTCTAATTTAACACTTTGAAGATTAAAAAATACTGAAAATTACTTAAATGAAATTGTTTTCAATTGCAAATATTGTTTTTTTATATTAGGGGCTGTCCATAAATTACGTAACACGTTTAGGGGGGAGGGGGGGTTCGAGAAAATGTTATCATATGTTACATGGGAGGGGGGGGGGTCAATCATCATTGTTACGTAATATTTATAAGGAACTTAATCTCTTTATAATGGATATATTTTTGAAAAGCTGTCCCTTGCCGCCACTTCAATATAAGTAAAAATCGAATCATTTCGCGAACCGATTCTTGGGAATAATATACAACTTTTATTGTTAAAAAATCAATGTTATATTTTTGGTTGTTCAGTATGATTAATAAAATTATTCCTCTAAATGTTTTTTATATTTAACTTAATTTTGTATTGCTATTGTACGATATAAATACTAAAAATAACAGTAATAAACAAATTTGTTTCGAAAAACGTTAGTAAAAAAATATTTTTAAAAATTACGTAACATTGATAAGGAGGGGGGGGTGTAAAACGATTTTGTTACAACTTGTTACATAGGGGGAGGGGGGGTTCAAAATTTCACTAAAAACGTGTTACGTAATTTATGGACGGTCCCTAAGAAAGGAAACACTGCGTATCGCGCGTAATTTTTAATATTTCTAATTTAAAAAAATTAAGATGATCTTGTAAATATTAAAAATTAGATAATTATTTATTTTTTAAAATAATTTATTAATATTTCACAATTTCTTTCAGATCTAAGTCAAGAAGTTGCAAAATTACAAACAGAATTAAATTCAGCTCGTTTACAAGAATTCGAAGCTCAAGAACAAGTTACACTTTTAACTTCTCAACTCGAAGAGGAAAGAACAGCTCGACAGAGTGGTGAGTTTATTGAAAACTCTGAAAGTTGTTTCTTTTTCTTTCTCTCAGTTGTATTTATTCCTTTTGTTATTATATCGATTTTTTTTCGTTAATTCACAGAGGAAGAAAAAATGAGGGAATTAAAGCAGCAAAAGGAAAATATGGAACGTATTACAAGAATGGTTGCCGAAGAGGTGCAGACTTTAAAAACTCAATGTGATAGCGAGAGAGAAAACGCCAAATTGATGAAAATAGAAGCAGACAGAGTAAGTTTTTTTTAAAAGAATGATTTCTTTTTGTAAAAAATAATCAGGGTTGCCATAAGAATTAAATTTTGTTTTTCCTTGATTTCCAGACAAAATTTTGACTTTTTCCGTGACCCTAAATAATATTCTGAATCATTCTAAAAATTATTAGATATTCAAAAAAATGTTCTATTACATTTATTTACGAATTTCCTTAATTGTAAAATTATTCAAAAACACCAATAACTTCATTTTTAAATAAATATTTAATCATTATTATTTTTCCGTAGGAATTAAGATTTTCAAAAATTTCAAATTCAAACATTTTGAAATTCAATAACTTCTTAATAATTATTTTCATAATTTCAATTCAATCATTATTTTCTTCAATTTTTAACTAAAATTCGTCTTTAAATCAATTATTTTTAATAATTTTTGAAAATATTCTTTGAGAATTTCTAAATCCATTTGTTTACAATTCAATTTTACGTGAAATTTAAATCAATTTTCATTAGAAAATTTTACGAGAATTTAATTATTTTAATACAAACGTAGATAATTCATTGAATAATTGAATGTTTCTTGAAATTTAATTCTCATACAAAATTTTATCAACAAATTTTTAAATGATTGAATTCTTTCGACACGAATTTTAATAAAATTTTTAAGAATAATTACATTATTCGAGAAATTTGATTAAAAATGCATTAAAAATAATTGAAATTCTGCAATGAGTGTTATTATTTATAAAAATAATTGAATTATTGCGAAGAATTTTATAAAAAAAATTTCAAACAATTGATTTTTTTCGTAAAAATTTATTATAATAATTTTTTGAAAAATTTTGCCATGAATTTTCTTAAAATTTTTGAAAATAATTGAATTTTATTACTTTTCAAAATTCTTGTGATGATTACAATTATTTATGAAAAGAATTGGAATTTTGCCATGAATTTTATTAATTTTTAAAAATAATTAAATCCCTGAAAGGAATTTTAAAATTTATGAAAATAATTGAATCACTGGAAGAATTGAATGCCAAATTTTGAAATATTTGATTTTTTTTTGAAAAAATTTATACAAATATTCTATTTTAAATAATTAAATTCCTGTGAATTTTTTTTCTTTTGGAAAATAATTGAATATTCGTGTTGAATTTTATCAAAAATTTTGTTTAATAATTGAATTTTTTTGGCAAATTTTATTAAAATACTAGAATATTGAAAATAACTGAATTCAAAAAAATTTTTGGAAATAATTGAAATTTTGACCTGAATTTTATTAAAATTTTGGAAAATAATTGAATTTTACTACTTTTAAAAATAATTGAATTCTTGTGATGATTACTATTATTTATGAAAATAATTAAATTTTGCAATGAATTTCATTAAAATTCCTGAAAATTATTGAATTTTGTCGAAGAATTTTGCTATTCATTTATAAAAATAATTGAAATGTTGACAATTTTCTTTTTAGATTTTTTGAAAATAATTGAATTTCTGCGAAGAATTTTATTAATTTTGAAAATTATTGAATTCTTGTGATGAATATTGTTATTTATGAAAATAATTGAACTTTTCAATGCATTTTATAAAAATTCTTGAATATAATTGAATTTCGACGAAGAATTTTGCTATTTATAAAAATAATTGAAATATTGACGAGAATTTTTTTTTTTTATTATTAAAAATAGTTGAATTTCTGGAAAGAATTTTGATATTTATTACTAAGATACTTAGTTAAATTGTTTCAAAGAATTGCGTTAAAATTTTTAAAATCAAAACTAATTTCAACAGAATTGAAATTAAAATTTTTCAAAAAATTATTTCATTAAATGATTTAGTAATAACTTTATAGCAGTTCTTCAATGAAATTAAGTTATTTAAAATAAATTATTTTTATTTTAAGAAATAGAAAAAATTTAAGGTTTTTTTTAGAATTAGTGTTAATTTCATAGTTTATGAGTCAAACAAAAAGACACAAAAATTCAGAATTTTCTTATAAATTCAAAACATTTAATTTCTCCAGTACTTTTAATAAATTCCTGACTTTTCCCTGATTTCCCTGAACAATTCTACTTTTCCTGACTTTTCCCTAATTTTCCTGACCTGTGGCAACCCTTATAATAAATAATATTTATTGGTTATAAAAATAGTTGAGAAATTGGAATTAAAAAATTGAATAGAAAATGATAATTTTGCAGGTTCAAAAGGAACGTAATATCCTTGCACATCAGTCGGCGCTTCTCATGGCAGAAATAGGCGACGAGCCGGGAGGAAGGATGATGACCGTCCTTCAAGAAGTCGAATCTTTGAAAAGGTTGTTAGAAGAAGAGCAACAGAGTCACGCAACTCAGATTCAACTTCTTCAAGATAAATTGGAGGAGAAGGAGTCGAATGTAGAATTTGAAATTGTCGAAGAAAAGTTGAAACTCGCCGAGTCGGAGCTTGAGATGGTTATGCAGAAAGCGGAAAGAGCTGAAAAGAGAGCCGCAAACTTGGAGGAAGTCGTGAAAGATTTGGAAAGCAAAATAACTGTAATGGAGGAAAAACGGAATCAACCGCCACCACCACCACCTCCGCCTCCACCTCCTCCACCACCGCAAATGCTTTCCAATAATCAATCGTCTCTTAAATTAATTACCAGGGAGAAATTAAATAACGATAGAGAATCGGCCGTTACCGATATGGAAAAAATGCTCGGCATCACCAAGAAGCCGACTACAATTCCCCAGCAGCCAGGTATTTTTATTTTCTTCGCCATTTCTATAAACATTCAGCTTTTATTATTGTAATTTAATTTCATTCTACTTATTCATATTATTATGTAAGTTCTTCTTACAATTTTGTAATTTAAAAATAATTTTATCGTTACATAAATTTTAATGGTAAAATTATTTTTAAATTACAAATCAAATTACAAAATTAAATTACAAATATAATAATTTTGTCAATCAAATATATTATTTTTATCACTAGTTTGTGATTTACGAGGACAAATAATAAACAATTTCTGCAATGTTTCAGCCATTGATGACATCATCAACCAGATAAAAGGAGGAAGGTTCACTCTCAAGCACACAGAGGTAAGTCTATTAAATAGTAATAATAATAGTATAATAGTAATATAATAATAATAATATAATAGTAATAATACATTTTTATGGTATCCGGACAAGAAGTCCAAACCAAAAAATCCAAAGTAAATGAAATCCAAAAAAGGAAAAAAAAATAGTTTCACTTTGGACTTATTTTTTGGATTTTTTTGTCCTGGCCAAAAAGTCCAAAGAAATTAAAAATCTAATGAAAAAAATTGAGATATAAAAATTTCAATGGTTGGCTTGAATGAAAATATTCTTTTTTTTAATTGCTCATTTCGATGACTGTGAATCAAAATTAGGTAAACTTAACATTTTAAATTTGTGAAAATAATTAGATTAATCCAGTAATTTAATTGGAATTATATTGAAAAAAATAATTGAAACTTTGCAAAGAATTTTATCAAAATTGTTGAAAATAATTGTATTTCTTGGAATAATTGTTTTTCAAATTTGTTATTTATGAAAATAATTGAATTTTTGTGAAAATTTTTTTATTTATGAAAATAATTGAATTTTTGTAAAGAATCTTATTATTTATGTAAATAATTAAAATCTTGCGATTTTAACATTAACATTTTAAATTCCGATTTTATAGCGTAAAATTTGCTTTGGACATTTTAATTTTGGATTTTTTGTATTTTGGACTTTTTTTCTTGGAATTTTCGGTCTGGACTTTTTGGATTGGATTTTTTGTTCTGTAATCCATTTTAATTACTATAAAAAATCACTTAATTCCTAATATATATTAATTAAAATTTTTCTCTTAAACTTTTTAAATTCTATTACAAGACTCGCAGTAGGTTTTTTTTAAAAATAGGTGAAAAGTGGATTTTTTTTTAGAAATAAGTGAGAAAAGATAAAAAATTGTACGTACAACAAATTGACGTGAAAAATAATTTTTATATATTGGAATTTTTATAAATCGCAATTTTTCAATAACAATTGAAACATAAATTGTTTATATTTTTCAATCGAATAGAAATTTCAATAAAAATTTGTACAAATTGAATTATTTTAGCAAGTGAGACTTTCGGTAAATCGGTTATAATTGGGATAAATTGCTATTATCGAATAATTTAAGATTCTCAGTTACGAAAGGAAATTTGAATAGAATTGACATTTATATTGAGATTTGAATTAATTACGATTCAAAATATTTTAAGATTTGAATGATTGAAATATCGTGATAAATTAAAATTTAGAAAATTGAATTTGATTAGAATTACATTTATATTATGAAATGCAATTTAGAATAATGATAACAATTTTAATGCTTTAACTAATTTTGTTTAACATTGATTGTAATTTTCATTAAGTAACTGTTTTTAACAATGAAGAATTTTGATAAATTCAAGTCAAAACTAATTCAGGGTTGCCACAAAAATTTAGCTTTGTTTTTCTCTGATTATTATTTGTCTTTATAGGAATTATGATCTTCAAAAATTTTTAATTCAAACTTTTTGAAATTCAATGACTCAAAAGAATATTGTCACTGTAAAGTAAATTCTACAAAATTATTTTCATGATTTTAATATCAGAATATTATTTTCTATTGTTTTTAATTAAAATTCTTCTTTAAATCAATTATTTTAAATAATTTTTGACAAAAAGTTCTTTGAGAATTTTGAAATCCATTTGTTTACAATTCAATTTTACAAAATTTCTATTATTGGAAGATTCTTCAATTGAATATAAATATTAGAAAATAAAAACTTTAAATACTCATTAAAAATTTGTATTTTCAAAAGATTTTAATTCAAAGCTTTATCAAAATTCAATTATTTTTTTAGACTTTTTAACTAAAATATTCTTCTCAAAATGAATTTTTTTTAGTAATTAAATATATGTCTAAAAATTCAATTTATTTCAAAAGAATTAGAATTAAAATTTTTCAAAAAATTAATTGTACAGAATTGTCAATTAAAGGCATTATAAATTCAGATTTTCATAGATTAAGATTAAAAGCCTTTTTAAAATCCAATTATTTCTAAAAATTATTTTTATTTGTAATTTCTTCAAAATTCAATTATTTTCTGATTTTTTTTTATCAAAATTTGAATTAAAATTTTTCAAAAAACTAAGTTTACTTAAAATTACAAATATGAAACTCATTAAAAATTTAAATTTTCTAAAATTTCAAATTGTAACCTTTTAAAATTCAATTTCTTATAAAAATTGTAAACGCAACTCTTATAAAATTCAATTATTTTTGAAATTTTTAAGCAAAATTATTTATTAAATAATTTGTGAGTAATAATTTTTTGACAGTTCTTAAAAAATTAAATTATTAAAAGTAAATTTTTGTAAAAAAATAAGAAAAAATGTTAGGTTTCGTTTTAAAATTCTTGGTAAATTTATAGTTTTAAGGCAAACAAAAAGGACACAAAAATTACGAATTTTGTTATGAATTCTATAAAGATTTATAATTTTTTCTAGTTCTTTAATTTATAAATTTAGAATTTCGCGATTCTTAAATTAATCGCAATCTTTTGGTTAAAAATCCGTTTTTTGTACAACTTTAATAGGTTTTAGTATAACTTAAAGAGAAAAAATTTTAATTAAGTTTTATATATTAGGAAATAAATGATTTTTTGCAGTAATAAATGAAAGAGTTACTTACAATTTCTGGTTGTTTATAATCGAATTTTAATAAATTAGATAAAATTTCTGTTCTAAAAAATTCTTTAATTAAATTGTATATTTTTCTTTTCGTCCAATAGAAAGAGAGAGATGAGGAGCGAAAACGAAAACAGGAAATGGAAAAACCGCCAGCAGTTTCGGAAATGTTAAATATTTTAGGAACCATGAGGAGACGAGCAAAGCCATTAAGACAGTCTTTCAAATTTTTAAATGATTCGTCATAATATAATTTTTAATTTTACAACACTCGTGCCAAGAATTTAAATAATAATAATTTAATAATTAAGATCCTTAGGTTAAGGAAAATTAAAAAAATGAAATTTATAAATAAGTTGCATTCAAAATGCAGTAAATAGTTATTTTTTACATTGTAGTCTAAATACAGACTTGGGATTTTTCACTTTGAAGATGGAAGTCTAAAAATAAAACAACTTTTTTTATGAGAAGCAATATAAAAAGCATTTTATATTCTTCAAAGTATACAAATATATATATAACGTAATTACTATAAACGCGTTGTGAAAATAATTTATTTTTCCATTTATATATATATACTGTATATATAATATAGATAAATCTTTCTTGCTGTAATTAAAATATAAAACTTATGATTATCCGCAATTATTTCGTCGTATAAAAACGTAGAAAATTCTTTGGGATTTCTTAAAAAGAAAAAATCATAATATATATTTTAAATAGGATTAGCTTTTTTTTCTTTTTGAAAGAGTATATAAGAGTTTTCTTCATTTTTTTTCGCGAAAGATCATTCATTGAATTTCTTGCTTTATCTTATCGACGATTGTCTGAAGTTTTGAGGCGTCAAACAAAAGAACTCGTCTATAGGGAGTCATCTCTTTATCTGATTCAGTCCAAGCACCGGAAAGACCACTGTCAGACTCTAATTCAACGGAAAACTCAAAACTACAAGTTGCTTCATCATTGAAAAGTTCCTCCTCTGGATTACTCCAAAATATTTCCGGCTCTTCGTTTGCGTTTCGACGTTTATTTTTGTTTTTCTTCATTGTCACATCCTGCTCGGATGGTTTGTATAATTTGCAAATTAATATGAAATGTGAAAATTCAAATGGCATTCGTTTATTGGTGGCACGCTTCATTTCGGAAATTAAATTCTCCATGAGTGGAATGGAAATTTGTGCGGGAAGATTAACGAAACGTTCGTTGATTAATAAGCCAAGTGGCGCTGAATCATTTTCAAGGACATTTTTAATCATTGTATTTGTCGCGTCAGTTGCATGATCGTTGGCCATTTGTTTCAGTAAATCGCGTAATTGCTGAATACATTGTACATTCTGAAAAAGTAATTAATTGCGCATTAATATTCAATTTCATTTTATATTTTTCAGGGTTTCTACATGATTTCTCCTTGAAAAATTCAATGATTCTATCATGATTTACAGGTGATAAATTTCTATGATACAATTTTTTTGATAATGCCTGATTGGTTAATTTTCATTTTGAATAAATGAAAGATTCTTTATGAAATAAAAATTTGGCATTTTAAAAATTCTATCAATCGATAACGCGCGTGCACATTCTGAATTAATAATTTATTGAAAGAATAAAATTGACTATTAATTAAAACTACCTATACAAGTTATTTTCTCTCTTATTTTCATTACTAGGTAAATTTAAAAAATTAATTAAAGAAAAAATTAGTTAATTGTACCAAAATATTTATTAAACTTTTACTATTTTTAATCTTTATGAATAAAATCAGACTTATGTTAGTACAAGCATAGCATAACAAACATTGTGATTATTAAACAGAAATTATGCCAATGTCTTTTTATTTATTTCTTAAAAATCAGAATTTTCTTAAGAATCGTGATTAAAAAATAAATTATATAATTTTTTAACCTTCAATTTTTTAAATAATATTTAACATTTTCTTAAATAATTTTCGAATTCTTTTAGAAATAAATAAAAAAAATGTATAATTTCGATTTGTTAGACAACATTTTTCAACAAAACATTTATTTTTATTATTATTTTATATTGTTTTTATTGTAGAAAAAATATTTTCCTGTTCTTGATTTTCCAATTATTATTTTTACATTACAAGATATAATAATATAAAAAATATAATAATAAATAAGAATAATATTATTAAAAAAATAATATTGGCATTTATTTTGTTAAAAATTGTGATAGAGAAATATAAATTACTCAAAAAAAAATACTTAAAATTTGGTAAAAATTATGTGACTGACCAGTAGAAATTATGAAAATTTTTTGACATTATATTAAAAAACTCTTTTAAAATTCTTAATTTTATTTCTAATTCTTAAATAAGAAATTGGTTAATTAAATATTCTTTTGAAATGAAATTTCGATAACATATTTATAAATACGATTTTATGAATTTGTAAACACTGGAAATTCAATTCTGTAATCATATTTACAGAATTTTCATGCACTCAAAAATTTCTACGATGAAAATTCCATGATCTCCATTTTTTCCATGGATAGTTGAAAATAAAAAATATTATTGAATTTCTTTAAAGAAAGGACCATTAAAACTACTTTTGCTTAATTTTTTTTTTATAAAATATATCATTTTTTATTAATTTTTATTAATTAAATAATTAATATCTCGAAAACGAAAACAAACTTCATTTTAATTTTGAAAAGTATTCGTTTTAAGCTATATTTTAAGACTAAAAAAATAAAAAAGGGTCTTTTTTCAAAAAATGTCAAAACAAATTTTTGATTTTCAAAAAAATGGTCAAATTTTGAATTTTTAAAAGATTCTTTTTCCGCATTTGAAAAAACAAGGAAAACCCTTCTGAAAGCGTATAGGGCACAATTTTTTTACATTGTTATATAATAGCTATGATTTTTTGAAAAATCTATACTGATCAAACTGAATCAAAAAGTTAATGGAAATATTAATCCGATTTGACAACTTTTACTTTTGAGATTAGTAGGTACACTTGAGAAAATTTGGGCCACAGATATTATTCAAATCATTTCTTGATATTATGTAAAAGTCTTTTTTAATTAAAATAATTGAATCTTGGATTTAAAATTTTTTTTATAAATTAAATATATATCTTTTTAAATCACCAAAAATTATTATTAATTTATTTTTTTTAATATTAATTTTTTAACACCCTTTTGATAATATTTTATAAATTATCCAGGTAAATATGATTGGGACAAATTTCGAATGGATTTTGTTCAGAAATCCTATCGAATTCGTGTGAAGTTACGAATAAAATCTATGGGGTGTTTCGGACGAATATTCATGGGGATTACACACGAATTTTTAATGCGGATTCCGCACGTAATTTATGATAAAAATTTTGTAAAAAATTTTCGGCCACATTTGAAATTTCAGAAAAGAATGTAATAAATTCAAGTACTTTTTATTTTTAAATAAATTTTAGAAAATTTGTAAATATTTAAATAATATAAATACCTGTCGATTGGAAATATTGATTACAGTTGTAATTCCAAAAACATCGTTGATGTCATCATCGTCGTCTTCGTCGTCAGAGGCTGCGTCATCTTGCGATTGTTTCACGACTGATCCAATGTAATTTTGTTCAATTATCAAATTTGTGAGATTGCTCAAGTCCACATGTGCTTTTAGGAAAAGTTGTTGCAAAAGAGTTTTGATCCCATGAAAATCAGGATCCGTTGGGCTTCGTCCTTCAAAATCGACAGTAATTTCCATTCCCTGAAATTTCAGCGCATATTTATCAAATTTTTCTAAAAATATTAACTTTAAAAGTTTAATAGTTTTTTTTTTGTTTCCTAACTGTTTTAATAATTTTTCTTTTCAAATATTTTCAATTTTAAAATTAATATTGTATTCAAAATCATTGAATGCTTGCAAAGAATTTTGTCAAAAAATTTGAGAATAATTGAATTCCTTCGAAGAATTTTATTATTTATGAAAATAATTTTTCAAAATCCTAATTATAAATCTTTTGAAGAATTTCTTTGAATTTTTTTCAAAATAATGGAGTTTTTTTTAGTACTTTTAATTTAAAATTTTTAATTAAAGTAAATGATATTTATGAACAATTTCTTTCAATTATTTAAAATAATCGTGTTTCTTAATAATTGAAATTTAACATTTAATTATTGAATTTTATTACAATTTTTTCGAAATAAATTAATTCTTCTCAGAATTTTTTTACAATTTTCTAAAATAATTTAATTTTTATTCAAGAAATGTCATTAAAATATAAAAAATAATTAAATTCCTTCGAAGAATGGAAACTATTAAAAGGTTTTGACAATAATTGTATTCTTTCAAGAAATTTCTTTAATTTATTGAATTTATCATGGATTTTGTTAATAATTATAATTAATTAATATATTATTAAAAATTTTTTTTTAAATTATTGATACAAAATTAAACTCTTAAACAATTTTATTAGACTCAAGATCTTTATTATTTAATTTTATTAGAGTTTTTGTAAATAATTAAATTCTTTTGAAGAATTGCTTCAAGTTTTTATGAAAATAGTTTTTTTAACAATTTTAATTGAAACTTTAGAAAATAATTGAACTAAACAAAGAATTTTTTTAAATAATTGTGTTTGTTAATAATTATAATGAAATATTTGTTTATTGAAGTTTATTACAATTTTATTGAAAATAATTAAATTCCTGAGAAGAGTTTTATTATTTATAAAAAATAATATAAATCTTGTGATGAATTTTACAACTAATAAAAACAATTGAATTGCTTTGAAGAATTTATTAAAGTTTTAAAAAATAATTGGATTCTTTCAAAAAAATTTTATTAAAAATTAAAAAAGATCACTGAATTCTTTCATGAAATTTTATTATAAATAATTAAATTTTTATATCTTAACATTTTACTATTTAAGAAAATAATTTAATTATTTCAAAGAATTTATTAAAACTTTAGAAAATAATTGAATTATTGCAAAAAATTTTACTATTTACAAAAAGAATTAAATTCTTCCAAAGAATACATACTTATTTATGAAAACAATTGAATTTTTGTGAAGAATTATATTAAAATATTTGAGAATATAAGCAATAATAAGTAAATTTTAATTAAATTAAAATATAAATGAATTACATAAATTTGAATGTTTTTTTTAACAGTTTTACATAAACTTTCCGCCCTTTTTCAAATTTGCCATCCCTGCAAATAGATAACCCGCAATGCGCAGCAGTTGTGCGCGGTGAAAAGTCATAGTTTAGAGCACGAGGCAAAATAAATCAGTTTCACAGTAGTTTACAGTCAGATGGCCAATATTACACAATATTATTGCTACTCTAATATTCATTTGTAATTAAGAGACGAGACATTAACGAAATATGTTAATTGAAACAGTAAATTAATGCAAATCTGACCCATGCTTAAAATTGAGGTTAGAATGTCATTTAAGCGACGTAACAATCACTGTACATGAAAATTGTTTCTAATCACCTGCTCTTTAGAGACAACATTCTCATTTTCTTCATTTCCAGATGAATTGCCGCTCTCATCATCTTTAGTTTTGCCAAAATTTTGTTGAATTTCACGTTTTTTCACCGGACCTGCCATTGTTTTTCACACGTGACAAAAACCGATCCCAAACACTTGACTATTTAGTTCCTAATCACAAAATGCTTCTTTCCAAGTAAGTGAATCTCTTTTATATATTGAAAATGAAATATCAAGGATCGATTTAATGATAAAACTTGGTAAATATAATGGAAATATTTTCCCGAAATTCCCCACTTGAAAATTGATGTAGGCCGGAAGTTTAATACTTGGCCTGTAGTTGTCGCTGGCAACCTTTTTAAAATCGATAGTGATGCAAAAAGATGTTTCTTTTTTTTTATTAAAGAGAGAAAACCTCTTTTGCATAATTACTAGTGTTTTGTTATCTAATTAGCCTTCAATTATGTTAAAGTGTGCTTGTTTTTATATTTCCCCTCATTGTCCTCTGAAAAAAAGCACAAATTACTCTCTTGAATAATGAGAAAAAGGTAGAATTGAAAAAAGACAATACAAAAATGTTTTAACAATGTAAACATGGGAAAGTTGATATTTTTTTAAGAAATCGATTTTATTTTTGAGAACTGAGTATACTTAGAGGAATGGGACTGGAAATAAGAAATTGCGAAGTTGGGTCAATAATTTTCTATTCGATACAATATCAGTTTTCGATGGCAATGTGTTACTGCATCCGGTGGGGGGGTGGAAAGTGGTCCATTGTCGCTACCGTAAGCGACGAAATTCGATTAAAGTTCTCGCGCATGGTCGAAGGAAGTTCCAGTTTTCTCGCGGATTTCTCAGGGTCTATCAGGTGGCACTAGAGCCACGCTAGGTAACATCTTTTGGTGAAGCGTATAACACACATAAGCACGACGAGAACTAGTGCGCTTATAAATATCGCGGTTTTTTTAATATTCTCAATTGTAAATATAAATAGGTTTCTTTGTTTAGAAAAAGTAATAATAACTACGTAAAACAGGGTGTAAAGATTTTTTGATAATAAACGACAGTTTCTTGACTTTTGTTGTGATTTTTCGAGTGCCGAAGGCCCCTGGTGGCAGGCGGTGAGATAGCTGTTTTAGATGTCCGCGTAGATGTTTCGATTTCCAATTCGATGTACATGTACATTCTATACACGTGTACAAAAGCGAGCGCGACATCATACACATTTATCAAAAAATATACATATATACCTACACCCTCAGAAAACAAGTTTACATTTCAATTTCCCCTTTTTTTGTTTTGTTTTTCTAACTTTTTCATTTCTCTCGCATATAAATTCCCCTTTGTTTCTATACTTTTATATTCATCTTGAAAATTAAAACTTTTTTAATTAGTTCTTATTTTTAAATACTAGGTATATAAAATTACATTTTCAATAATTCAATGTTATAATTAACTTGTTTATATTTTTTACGATTCTTAACAAATTTGTTTGTCAAAATTTTTTTTTATTTTTTAAAAATATTGATTAATTATTTAATCAGGGTTGTCACATGTCAGGGAATTCAGGATAAAATCGGATTTTTATTAAAAGTTCTTGAAAAAATTAATTTTTTAGAATTCATAAGAAAATTCTGAATTATTGTGTCCTTTTTGTTTGACTCATAAACTATGAAATTACCACGAATACAAAACCTTCATTTTTTTCTATTTCTGCCAATAATTTCTTTTTAAATAAATTTCATTTTTGAAGAAATATAAAATTATTTCTAATCAATTATTTAATGAATAATTTTACTTAAATATTTTTAAAGTTAATTCAATTTTAAAAGAGTTGCGTTTACAATTTTCATAAATAGATGAACTTCAAAAGGTTTCAATTTTAAATTTTATAAGATTTCAATTTTCAATTAAATTAATTGAAAACTTTAAAAAACTTGGATTTTTGAAAAATTTTAATAATTCAAATTCTTCTGAAATTAATTAAATGTTTTAATGTATATTTAATTATTTATTAAAAATAATATATTTATAGAAGAATTTTACTTAAAAACACTAAAAAAAATTTAATTTTGGAAAAGTTATGAATAATTGCAGAAATTCAATTATTTTCAAAAGTAATAAGATTCTTCGCAGAAATTCAATTATGTTCAAAAACTTTTTTAAATTTTCGTCAAAATTTCAATTATTTTTATGTAAATAATAAAATTCTGCTCCGAAATTCAGTTATTTTGAAAAATTTTAAATCAAATTCTTGGCATTCAAGTATTTTCAAAAATTTTTCTAAATTTAATGATTTTCAATATCTATTTTGATAAAATTTTCCAAAAGAATTCAATTATTTAAACAAAATTTTAATAATATTCTGCGCAAACATTTAATTATTTTCATAAATAATAATAATTTCAAAGGAATTCAATTATTTTCATAAAAAATAAATTTTTTTACAGAGTTTTAATTATTTTTAGGAATTCAATTATTTTCACAAATAATAAAACTCATCATAGAATTTCAATTATTTTCAATAGAATTTTAATTGAATTCATCGAAAACTGTAATTATTCTTAAAATTTTTATTAAAATTCGACGAAAGAATTCCATTTAAAAATTTGTTTATAAAATTCTTCCTGAAAATTCAATTTTAAGAAACATTCAACTATTCAATAAATTATTTAATTTTCTATTTAAATAATTTAATTCTCGTAGAATTTTCTAATTAAAATTGATTTAAAAATGAATTTCTGTTAAAATTTTAGATAAAAATTGAATATTAAAAGCATTATAAGCATGAGTTTTTAGAAATAATTGAATTTTGATAAGGTTTCAAATTCAAATCTTTGAAAATCTTCATTTTTCACACTTTGAACTAACAATTTTGTAAAATAAATTTTTTTTAAAAAAGTTTTATTGAATTTTTAAAAAATTATTTAAACTTTTTTTTTAATATATATTTAATTAAAGAATTTCCGAATAATCGAAATTTCGTAAAATTGAAATGTAAACAAATGGATTTGAAAATTGAACTTTTTCAAAAATTATAAAAAAAAATTGATTCAAAGAAGCATTCTAGTTAAAAATTCTAGAAAATAATAATTGAATTAGGTCTTCTTTAATTATTATAAGTTATTGAATTTCAAAAAGGTTTGAATTTGAAATTATTGAAAATCTTAATTCTGATGAAAAAATAATAATGATAAAATATTTATTGAAAAATGAAGTTATTGATGTTTTCGAATAATTTTACAATGAAAGAAATTTGTAAATAAATGTAATAAAACATTTTTTTGAGTATCTAATAATTTTGAGAGTGAATCAGAATATTTTTTTATTGTCAGAGAAAAAGTCAAAATTTTGTCTGGAAATCAGGAAAAATCAAAATTTAATTTTTTTGCAACCCTGTTAATGATTTTCTCTCTCTTTTTTTTTGATTCGTTAATGATTTTATTTTTTTAATTCATTAACGATTTAATTTTTTTTCCATTTTCAATTTAATTCTTTTGAAAGATATAATTTATGGAAATTTTTTTTTAATTATATTATACATTAATATAATTAAAAACTACTGTTTGAAATTTGCATTTTGTAAATGTTTCAAGAATTCAAAAGAAATTTAAAAATTATGTATTGCAAATTAATTACTTCTTTGGAAAGTTAATTTTTCTTGGAATAATAAGTTAATTGTCAATAATGTGGTATTTTTTAATTGTGCAAAACATGTATTCGTATAATTGTTATTAAAATATATGTATAGTTATTTTTATTTAAATATTCATTTGCATACTTTCTAAATATGAATTAGTAAAAATATTGACTGATTTGAATTAATGACTGACTTTTTGCTTTTAAATCAGTAAATTTTACTTATAAATTAAAAATTAGTATAAATTACTATTTATTAGTAAAATTTACTAATTCGAAAGAAAAAGTCAGTCAGTCAATAAATTTTACAAATAATTTAGTAAATGACTATTTACTAGTAAAATTTTCAAATTCAAAACCAAAAAGTAATAAATTAGTTAGAAGTTATTACTTATTAGTAAAATTTATTAATTTAAAAGCAAAAAGTTAGTCACTACTTCAAAGTACAATAGTAAACATTTTTACTAATTAAAATTTAGAGAATATAAAATTTCCATTATTTTGAATTTGAATGTTATTTATTAAATATATTTTTTGAATGATAAATTATTTGATTTTGATTTTAATCTAAATAAAAATTATATTTTTCAAAAACAGAAAAATTCAGAAATATAGAAAATATTTTATAAGCAAATTGCAGCGAGACGATTGTTGCGTATCTGCTTTAAAAATCGATTCTGCTGTTTGTTTTCTGTTTTTATTTTGGAGAAAAAAGAAATTAATTTTTTCTTTATGGATATTAAACAATATTATTTTTTATATCTGAAATTATAACATTTAATTATATTGATTCTTTAAAAATAATTTTCTTTTTTCGCGTCAAAAAAATTTGTTTTCCTTGAAATAAAATCTTTTATTTTATTCTCAATAACATTTTACATAGAACGCAGTTTTATAAAAATGGTATTGAAACTTTTTTTTTAAAAGCTTTATTTTCCTAGGAAACTTCTTTTTTTATCATTTTTTTAAAATCAGTCATGTAATAAAACTTGGATTGAACACATTTTTTATACAAAAGTATCTCTTGAAATCTGCTTTCCATTTTGGCTGCTCGGTGTTTAGCGATGTTTCCCTAGAAAGCTGTCTCACCTGCCTTTATAACTACCTTCTTTTATTATTATTATTATCAACATATTATGTGAATTTCGATTCTCGCTTTTTAGATATTACATCCGTATTTGCATTTTTATGTATAGTCAAATTTTTAGATGCATTACTATTTTTATATACTATTATAGATCATGTTGTTTTTGAATAAAAAAATCAAAACGCTGAGAAATGAAAAACAGTTTATTAATTGACATATATATTTATTAAACAGAAATTATTTATTAAGGGAGAATAAAATTAAAATCTAAAAATTAAAGTAGATAAGAAAATAATAAAATGGAATATAAGGGAGAAAACTAATAAAAAATATAAATAAATTGCAATTTATTGTTAATATTCCTTTCATAAGAAGAAAACTGTATTTTAAATTTCATATTATTCTTCGAATTTTATGAATATATTTATTTACTTTTATTTATTTATATATTTGAGAATATTTTATAAATGTATATTTTTGAATTTGGAATGTATTGTTAAATTAATTCTTAAATAATAAAATGATTGCATTCATAATTTTGTTATTATTAAATTTAGAATATCTTTTTATTTTTATAGAGTAGAATAAACTGAATTTTAAAATAAATTGAATTATATTATAAA